GCCTTCACTGGAATCACCCTTAATGCACTAATCACAATCATTTAGATTTTTTCTAGCATGCACTTCAAAACAGTTTTAGCTTCTATTTCTTTTTCTTTCTTCTTCTTTTTTTTTTTTGTCTCCAGGACTTGTTACTTGTTAGAGCAGCACTCCCCATCAGTGGTATTAGTTTATGTGTTTATATATGCTGCTGTAACAGAAAGTTATTTTCTCAATCCAGGAGACTGAGAAAGCAACATCAAGGGGCAAGCAAGCACCAAATGTAGGGTAGGCTGCTATGCTAATGGATAGATCTTTTCACATGGAAGGTAATCTGCTCATGAGACAGAGCCATCATAACTGAGTCCCTCCTCCAACACTTGTTAACACCACAATGAATAGGAATTTTTGAAGGGGACTCCATTTTTCAAGTCATAGCAAAAAATCACTAGTTTCCCCTTGAGCACCAAAGAAAAAGTGAGCCTGAGCTCAAATCTAGGATCTTGGATTTCCAAAGCTGCCAGGTACTAGTTCCTTATTGAATTTGTTCAACTGATGGAGATGTCTGGTAGCCTGCATGTGCTGTTGCATAAAATAATTATAAGAGATAAGGAAACTTTCAATTTCTTGTACAGTTTCAGTATGAAGACTATCATTTTGCTAGAACAAATTCTGAAGTGACACTAATTTTATTCTGTGTATCTATTGTGGATACAAGCATCAGTGTGTACTGTTAACCACTTACTGTGTGGAACACTGAAATTCCACAACTAGATATCTTTTTTGACTATTTTTACCAACCTCATGTGTTTATGATATATAAGGAGCACACTTCTTTTTAGATGTCTTTATTTCCATTTACTGAAAGAGTTTTTCTTTGCGTGGTATAAATATCACATATTCTAAGAAGACAAAATATATTCATCATAAATGAATACAAAGGCATCTTCTAATTGTAAAGTGATCATTTGTCAAAGCAAATGAAACTAGATCATTTTCTTATTTGACTTTGTCTGGAATTTATTCAGAGTGATTTTGTTTCTACAATAAAGATTCATGAAGGTAGTATAAAACTTGATGGAAATTTATTATTAAGCTGAACGATTTTAAACACTATTGTTTACCTCTTTTGGCTGATAAAAGTGGTATCTTCATATAGTTGAACCTAACAGCTGATCTAGCCAATGAAATAAAGTAACATTGCTAACCTTTTTTATTTTCAAATAAAGGTTTGAATCAAAGAATTTCTATACAAGCTGATGGGTAACATATGATTAACTGCTTTACTTGGCTAGCACCATGCGTTGAACTGATAAGTCAAATGAACGACATGTCCCAGGCCGCACTGGGAAAACCACATAAGCAGCCAAAGGCCTTCATCTGTTGCCACAGCAGTACCCTGTCAGTGAGAAAGTAGACAAGGAAGAAGAAACATGAGCATGTCCTATAAGAGCTTGACAGAATAGGTTGTAACTTGGCAGCAAACTATGAACTTGCTAAAGGTCAAAACCTGGACTTGGCACTCACATGTCACAGAACTCGCTTATCTAGATGTTTCAAAACTGTCTTCCAATGTGCCCTGCTTATCAAATGGCAAGGAAAAAGAAAAAGGAACATTTGTTGCTCTGCTTGCTCCAATTTAGCCGTGCTGCTCTGGGATTGAGGAGCTAATATACAAGGAAACCGGTTGCAAGGTTATAGTGAAGTAACTAAATGAGCTTAACAGAAGCCGAAACTAGATGTGGCTTTTGTAGGGCTGTCCTGGGCTATAACAAGAGTGTGACATCAGTGTTGATACTTGAAACATCAGCAGATAGATTCAAAAGAAACCATCAAGAGCAGCAAACAACCTAAGCTGGTACAGGTTTAGAAGATTCATGGACTGATCAGAGAATGAACCAAGCAGTGGCTGAGGACCCTGAGGATCACATCATGAGTGAGAAAATCAGCCTGCTGGGCAGCAGGTGATATCAAAGGAGATTTACCTCAGTTACTTTAACATTCCTGACATCATGGTGTTGCCCTGAAAATCTATGCAAATACCTTGAGGTAATATGCACTTTACATGAGACAGCACTATGTGTTATTTATTAAAGATATTCAATCAATTCCTCTCTTAGCAAAGTGAGAATCAGTGACAGAAGTTCTATTTTGATAGGTCTGTTTTATTAAATATTCATATGCATGTTTATACAAATGTATATGTGTACACAAACACACAAATTGTTTCATCTATTTGCTGTAGTTCTATCCCAATGTCAACATCAGCAGACAATATTAGGCCTGTGAATATCTAATATCCATTTGTATCTCAAATTGTGCTATTTGTGAAATTGTGAAATTTGTGAAATCCATTTTAAACTAAAAGCTCTTAGTAGAGGTGTATCTCCTTGAGTAACTTTCTTTTTTTCTTTCTCTTTTTTAATTTTATTTTTTTATGATGATTACATAATTCAGAAGGGTGGACCACTGATTAAAGTGGAAGGGGTCGAGCAATAGGGGAAAGTGAATGAGACCACTGTTTCCAACTTCCTTTGTCTTATATCTGCTAGATGGAGAAGAGAAGGGGAGAAACTGCACCAAGCATCCTAACCACATCATACCTGGAACTGGGGGATGGCTACCTGACATCATCTCAGAGTCCCTGATGTGGAGCATCTTTTTAAGATTTATTTATTTTTATTTGAAAGGCAGATCTACAGAGAGGAGAGGGAGTGATAGAGGTCTTCCATCTGCTAGTTTACTCCCCAGTGGCTACAATAGCCATAGCTGAACTGATCCAAAGACAAGAGTTTCTTCTGGGTCTCCCATGTATGTGTAAAAGACTTACGCTATCCTCTGGTGCCTTCCTAGGCCATAAGCAGGAAGTTGGATGGGAAATGGAGCAACTAGGATATTAATAGACCCATGTGAGATGCTAGCGCTGCAGGGTGAAAGTTTTGTTTGCTATGCCATTGCACCACTCCCAAGTATTTTGCAAATAGTATTTAATTTGTATCTATTTATTATATGAAAAATTGGTTAGATGGATAAACATAAATGATCAAATTTAGTGAACAAATGCAGATTCTTATTTATTATCACCAATAGTGAGTTTCAAATAACATTTCCTGTAGTACAAGTTTTATCTTTTGTTTAAACATTGGAAAGTCTAGGGGCTGATTTTTGCCCAAGTTTCCCTAGCTTTCAGTGCTGAAATACAGGAATAAATTGAAAAAAAATGAAAGAAGAAAGAAAGAAATGAAAAAGAAAGGAAGAGAGGAAAGAAGGAAGAACCTAGGTTTAGACAAAATTGATGAAGTAATAAAGTGAAGTGTAGAAATTGTATCTATTGAAAGAGAATGTTTCATAGACAGAAACAAAACTATTATCAGATAAGAACTAAAGAAAAAAATCTCAAGAACAACATTTGAAAGATCACTTCCTGTAGAGAATTACCTTTCTATGGGTTCTGAGAAATTAACAAGAGAAAGTGGAGAAATATACTAACACAAATGTACTAATACAAACGTTAGAATGTTAGCTGACTGTGTAAATGAAACTGTCAGAAAAGTAGAGAATTTGGAAAAGACTTAAAATATTTGACATTAATGGACAGGATCTGTGATTGAGGAAACACAATCTCATTGGCCTGATGATGCTTTTAGAATGATATTCAGTGTCAGTCAACAAAAACATTTTTGTGCCCACCTACCGTAACACTGAATTGTATAGGAGCTGAGAGTTAATGCAACAACAACAATAACAACAAAGCAGCTGTAGTCCTATCTGCAAAAACAAAACAAACAAACAAACAAAAAATTAAAAAATTGTCCAGCCAAGGAGACCACACAGGTAGTATAGAAAAGTAGTTACTGAAGTTTTTATGAAGAAGGTGGGCATTGAAAAAGTATGCTGGATTATGACAGCCAGCAAAGTAGTGAAGGCCACTGAAGGAAAGTGGCTTAGTGCAAGGAGCAGAGTCAGAAAAGCTGAAGACAATCCCTTAGGTTCAGTGAGCAGATCATGTGAGAGAAATGGCACTGTTGCTTCAGTAAGAGAGAGACCATGAGCCCTGGGAGAGGGTTTGTGGAAGGCCCAGAAGGTCAGGCTATGGGGAATGGATCTTCTAAACAATGGGAATGCATCCAGAGCTTCCAAGGATGAAATGGCTGGAAAGAAATCGATGCTTTAGAAAAATCATCTGTGTGATGATGCTGAAGTATTAGAGTGGGAAAATCTATGGCAATGAAATCTGGTAAAAACTAGAAAGAATAACAGGTCAATTAGATGGGAGCAGAAGGGTAAGAGAAAAAAATGACCAAAATAATTTCCAGATTTGGAATTGGGGTCACCAGTAGTATGCTGTAGAACCACACTGACTCCACAAAATTGAAGGAAAGCACAGATGGAAACAAAGATCCTCAGATTTTGTGATTAGCATGTCTTAATTGTCTCTGGTGACAGAGGAAAGCTGAGACTTCAGGGTCTCATAAAGGATGACCTAGCTTCCCGCCATCCACCCCAGTGGCCATGGGTACACAGCCATGTGTAGTTGTTGACTAAATGAAGAATAGGCTGTAATTACAAAGGAGATTTTAAAGTTAGTATGAAAAATTAATCCAAATTAAAGATCTCATTAACCTTTAAATACTGATTCCATGCTGAAATTATAATATTTGGGGAATAGTGAGCTAAATAACATATACTATTAAAATTAATGTTAGCCAACTTTTCTCAAATATGGTTCCTGGAAAATTTAGTCTGATGATATTTCTATTGAACATTGCTGATCAAGATTTTCACCATGAAGCTCACTAAACATGACAGCAAAACATACATGTTGTTTTATAGTACTTTATAGTTAAATGAATTTTAACTTCATAGCTGTTGTCTGAAATTTTCAAAATGTGCCTTACATTTTGTCAGTACATTTCTGCCTTTTTTGAGTGGATTATACTATAGAGGTCCATTTATTTACTTTATCCAAAGCTTAATTTTCATTTTACTGAACATTTGACTCTTGTACTTCCAACCTGCAGATGATGCTACGGCTGACAGTCGCAGAACTTATACTCTGAATGATTATTTAAAAAGTACTCTTCGATTGAGGTCCTATTCCTTGCAGTGGATTTCAGGTAAAGACTTTTCTGAGGGGGTCAGATTCTTTATATATGTTCAGTTTAGATAAGTTGGCTTGTAGAATATTGTTATGTCGCTGAAAATATATAATCCATGTTTGCTTCTTTCTCTTTGCTTTCATTTATTTGAAAACTGGTTATGAGAGAAAGATCAAGTGAAAGAAAGAGGAAAGAGAATAAGAAATCTATATGCTGGTTCATTTGCCAGATTCCCACAAAAGCCCAGAGGCAGGCCATTGCTGAAACCAGGAGCTCAGAATTCAATCAGGGTTTCCCATGTGGGTGGCAAGAGTCCAGATATATGAGGCATCAGGGAACACATTAGCAAGAAGCAGGAACTGGGAGTGAAGCTGGAAGTCAAACCCAGGTACTCCATATGGAATATGGGTGTACCAGCATACCAGGCAGCATAACTGCTGTGCAAAAAACTGACCAGTCCTTCTTTTTTTTTTCCCTAAAACTCTATGAAGAGTTGTTTTTTTTTTTTCTACTAAGAACACAAAGGGGAGAGAATACAGAAAAGATCCTAAATATCTCTAATGTGAACTACAAAAAGTTACACATGAATTGAAATTTTGACAGTAACAATGGCAGACACATGAATGCTACTGTAGTATTCACCACTTAAGTTTTCTTGCTTGAATTAATGCTTGTGTGAGCTTAAGACTTTACATTTATTGCATAATTTCTAGCTTTTGAAGATGTTGAATAATAACTTGAAATATTGATCTTATCTTTTTCTCTCTCTAGATAATGAGTATCTCCACAAACAAGAAGATAATATCTTACTCTTCAATGCTGAATATGGAAACAGCTCCATTTTCTTGGCGAACATTACATTTGTATGTTTAATCATACAATTAATTTGTGCCTGGCATCCTGGGGATATTGTTCATTGCCTTTCAACTTGTGACTGCTGTCCTTTCTCATCCTGTTGGACTCTGCAGCATATGCCACAGTGGATCTTTCTCTCCTTCTTGAAATGCTCCCTACCTTGGCTACTTGATAGTCTCCTTTGATGATTTCTCCCTTCCACCCACATTTTTAAATGTAAGTGCTCCTTGAGGCTCTGCCTTCAACTTTTGCCCTCTATTAGCACTTTGCATGTCACCCTTCCATGAATTCCATGCACTTCCACAAACTGCTCTGCTCTTTACCCTTAAGTCTTCTATACACACACTTAATATTAACCTCTACCCAAGATTCAAATCTCAGAAGGCACTGGCTGCTGGTTCCTGCACATGAACGGTCAGCAGGTATTATAAACCCAGATGCCCCATGCTCATCTAGCTCTCTTACTTCTTTATCCAAGGCAATAAAAGCATTTCATTCTTCTTTCCAAGTTTCCAATCTTAAAAAATGACACTTAATTCTGCCCCGTGTCACTGAAGCTGGAAATCTTTGACTCTTCCATCATCCCCTATAATTAACTACTCAAAACCCTTAATGATTCTCTCTCTGCATGTCAGCTAGTTTACAGATTTTCATTTCCACTGTGTAGTCCTGGTCCAAATCCTTAGTTAATCTTCTGTCTAGTATTCTAGTTTGTGTATTTCTCCATTGTGGAGATAAACCACTGCACTGCCTTAGTCCAGGCTGATGGAACCCTTCCATGTTCCCTTCTTATGTCATTTACCATGCTACCAGAAAGTTAAATATGATGCTGTTATCTCTGTATGCAAAATGTAGGCATGTAACATGATGTATCTTTCAATTCCAGCTGTTTTTTCTGATGTGTTATTCTTTTTCTGCTGTGTCTCACACACCCCACACAATATCCAGTTTACACACAATCATTGCATATCTTGAAGCATACATGCTTCCTGCCAAACCTGAGTTTTTGCATCTGCTGCATCCACTATTGAAACACTTTTTTTTCTTGTCCTGATTCTTCACCTCATTATTTTCTTACAGAACTCGTCCTCTCCTCTCTGACTTTCTAACACTGATCTCCATTCTTCCTAGATTGGGCACACCCAAGCCACAAGTTGCCTCACTGGAACAGTACCCTCTACATTGTAACCACTTGCTAATGGCAATGAAACTGAATTTTTCAATCTTCCTTTTTTTCTACTTGATTACAGGATGCATTTGGACATTCTATAACTGATTATTCAGTATCTCCTGACAGACAGTTTCTTCTGTTAGAATACAACTACGAGAAGGTAAAAGAAATGCTTTCCTATCGTGATCTTTGTGTGGTGTTTTATCCCTTATTTCAAGTATAAAAAGTTTGACTTTGATACCTAAATAATATATTTGGTACTAAAATCTGAGTAATTCAGCACCAAAACAAGTCATTCTCACTCAAAAAAACATAAAGCCAATGTTCAAATACCAAGGACATAAACTCTATTACATTATAGATGTTAATAATATAAGTGAATAAACATTTACAATAGGAACTGATTTGTAATGTTTACTTATCTGACTTGTACATTATGCAACATAATCTCTGGTTTCCTTAGTCTTCCCTTCACATATGGTAAGGCAGCCAATAAATATTTGCTTTAAAAAAAATAAACGACCCATCCTGCGGAAGAGTCTCGGCAAAACGAACCAGACTGCTTCCCCACTGCCACACCCCTCCCCAGAAAGCTGTTCCCCACTGCCACACCCCTCCCCAGAAAGCTGTTCCCCACTGCCACACCCCTCCCCAGAAAGCTGTTCTGAGGGGAGCCCTTCACACAGATCCTGCTCACAATGCTGAGCTTTCCCTGAGCACTGAGCCCCACACCCAATTCTCACAAAGCAGGGAAAGGTTAGAGCTTATTCACATATCCTCTTTATGCTTTGTGATGGATGGGAATCATGAGTTAAGTTCAACTGCAGCTTTGTTTATGCATGGATTTGGCAGCAGTTGTCAAGTATAGGGTGTTTTAAGATATATAAAAAATGTTAAACACCTCTGACGATATTCTGCATTGAAACTAAAATACAAAGCTGAGGATTCCTATCTTGACACGTTTGTTTTTTTTTTTTTCTGGATACCTAACATGGAGTGGCCTTATCTCACACACCACACTGCTGTACTCAAGCCAAGCAAAGCATTCCCATTCCACTTACCATCTCAGGGTGGTGGTTTGCGATCATAATATTTACCCTGGATTCCCTGTGCCGGCCTCATTTCCTGCACATGAAGTCTCTCTGACCATGTTCTGATAACCTTGTTAGTGTGAGAGAATTTGAATCTTATGCCAACTTTAATGCATCTATTCCCTGTCAATGTATTTATTTGTTTAACTCAGTGCTTCTTACTTTTACCTATAGAATAAATTTACTTGAGGAAGTTTTTTAGATTTCCAGTGTCCAGGTTCAATCCCAGATCAGTGCATTGAAATATCAGGGTGAATTTTTGTCAGCATTTCAAAAATATCCATTGATTATTCTAATGGGAAACCAGGACTGAGAATCACTGAGTAATAGTTGTCTGTGCTTAAAAAAACAAACAAACAAACAAAAAAACAATATGTGAGGTTAGAAGACAAACAGAGAAGAGATGCTAGCTCAATTTACTACTTGGGAAGATTTGCCAACTACCATTTGATGAACATTACTGGATATGGGGCTATTTCACCTATAGATCCTAGTTAAATAATTATCAGATATGGGTGTCTGTTGTGTCACTAGCGTTTGTGCTCAAATTTTTGTGCTCTTGCTTCAGGTAATATTAAAGTACCTTGTCTAAAACCTAGACTTCCAACATCCTCCTAAAACCCAGATTGTGCCACATCCATGTTTAAAACTTTAAGTGGCTTCTCCATTAGATGTAGAATATGAATACTATCCAGGCTATGTCAGCCACAGGGTCTGTGCATTGGGTCTCAGTCTGTCCATCACAATCCGCCAATCACCTTCTCCTATGCTCTCAATGTATACGCAATGCTTCCCACTCCTACTTGCATCTCATACTCACACTTGGAGATGTTTTTTAAAACACAGATGTATGAGGCCTACCCTCCAAGCAACTAAGAGTATAGCTGTAGGGGTACCCAGGCTCACATAGAGTTCAGGGTCACAGGAGATTAAATGAACCAAAGCCGAGAACTTTTAAGTGTGCAAATCTTTCGAATTCTCAAGTGTCACCCTCATTCCTTCATAGCTCCCCGCAACCGACAACTTTCACACCCTCATTCTGACTCATTGTAGGAAGTCTTTTTTTCAATTAAGATACGTCTATACTTTCCTAGATCACTTCATCTAACAAACATGCCTCCTACTCTGTTTCTCCCATGACCCACAAATCATAATCTGTCACATTAGTCTATGTATTTTTTCAGCATTTTGTGATCTTTTACTTCTTTTATATTTATTGTTTAGAACCAGTTTCCCTGTGTTTTTGTCAATACTAAACATCTAGCACCTTCAAATGGATGATATATCAGATGCAAAAATAAAAAAGCAACATGTTAACTGTTGCACCAAATACCCACTCCTGTGCAAAGCTCTTTAGACCCTACCCCCCATGATTTCTTTATAATTGAGTTACTGCATCTACAATAATTTTTACGTCTAAGAGTTGCTACAAGTGAATAAGTAAATAAGTAAATAAATAGTTCACAGTTAGGTTTGGATGCTCTTCCAGCCTCTGCACAGTCTCAATTCTCCGGACACAATATCTTCTGTTGTGTGTAGACAATGTTTCCTAACTGCTCCGAAGTTCCCATTCCTCCTCATGCACCTGAAACTGTTGTTTTCTTTAACCTCACCTTCCTGGAAAGAAAATTGAAGCTTAGAAAGTAATTTGCCTGGTAACACACAGCAGTGGGTGGGATCCAGGTTAGAAGACCTGAGCTTGTGTTCCTTCACATGATCTTTCCTGTCTTTGCACTTCAACCTCTGTTGGCAACAATTCTTTACCACTAAGCCAGTACAAGAATCATCATTTCCACAAACCTTTCTTTCTCTCCAAGACCCAATATATAATCCTTCTCCCATTATATCTCTTGGCACGTCCTATGTTTCTTCTGTTGTGGTTTACTTGGCCATTCCCTCATTCAGCTAAGAATGTATCAAGCAGAGGGACCCTGTGCTACAGCAATAACTGATGGATTATAACTGCCAGTGTTGACAGACCAAATAGTCTGAGGAATCTGTTTCAAGAGATGAAGTTAATGTGCCAAACATTTTGGCTTTCCTTCTACACCCCATGATGGTTTTGTCATTCTGGAGTGAGCTAAGCCCTTCTTCATGTTTCTAGTCTATTCCACACCTTTTGGCTTTGGCAAATATTATGTTTGTAGTTGCCCAGAAACAATCATGGGGTGTGTCAACATAATCCAGGATTCAGGAATGTACAACTTGCAAAAAGTACGTACTTAATAAGTATTTTTTGACATGAGTGTGAGGGAGGATGAGAAGTGATGAGCAGTTAGGGTTTGGAACGCTTGCTTTATCTCAGCTCAGTGGTCCTATAATTGGGTATCCTTGCATTACTATTTCACCTATACTTGTTGACACAATTTGAATTTTGAAAAATATTTATTCATTTATTTACTTAAAAGAAAGAGAAACAGAGGGAGAACAGGAGAGTAAAAGAGAGAGAGAGAGAGATAGTACCTTTTATTTGCTGCTTACTTCCCAAGTGGCCACAACTGCCAGAGCTGGGCCTGACCAAAGCCAGGAGCCAGAAACTCCCTCTGTGTCTCTGATGTCCAAGCATTCAGCCATCTTCTCCTGTGTTGGAAGGTTATCAGCAGGAAACTGGATGAAAAACAGAAAATCCAGGACTTAATTCAGCACTCTGATATGAGATGTTGGCATTGCAAGCTGTGTTTTAATCTGTAGCATTTTTTTTCATTTGGTTTAGGTTCTCAAAAGTCCGCAATATAGCTCTCACTAATCTAAACTCTTGATATTTAAACACACAATTTCTCACCTGTAGAATGGTGTTGGTGTTGTGGCATAGTAGGTTCAGCTGCTGCCTGCAATGACAGCATCTCAAATGGGTGCCAATTGGAGTCCTGGCTACTTCATTTCTTTGATTTTATTATCTCCCTTGGCTTCAGGGAGTCTAGTGCTGTCTATCCACATTGTATGTTTTTCTCCTTGTTCATTCAATTGTGAAAATATGTAGGAATTCTTTCTAGATATTACTCTTCTTTTAAAATTTATTTTTATTAAAAGCCAGATTTACAGAGAGAAGGAGAGACACAAAGAAAGATCTTCCATCAGCTGATTCACTCCTCAAGTGGACACAACAGCTGGAGCTGAGCTGATCCAAAACCAGGAGACAGGAGCTTCCTCAGAGTCTCCCACGCAGGTGTAGGGTCCCAAGGCTTTAAGCTGTCCTGGACTGCTTCACCAGGTCACAAACAGGGAGCTAAATGGAAAAATGGAGCAGCTGGGATTAGAACTGACACTCACTCATATAGGATTCCAGTGCATGCAAGGTGAGGACTTTGACTACTAGGTTACCACACTGGGCCCTCTAGTTATTAGTGTTTAAGAAAGTAAAATCCTACTTTGTATACATTTCTGTAGTTTATATACATTTCTCACTCAATAATGTTCTTGGAACTCCTTCAAAATTATTTTATATAGCTCTAATTCATTTTTAATAGACTTTTTTTAAAAAGCGGTTTTAGGTTTTCTTAGAAAAGTAAAGAATTCCTATATATTCCCTCACATTTCTTCCTTCAGTTTCCCCTACTAACACCATGCACAGTGTGGTATTTTTGTTACACTGATGAACTGATGCTGATAGGGTATTATTGACTGGAGTTCATACTTTACATTAGGGTTCACTCTATAAACTTTTGCAGTTTCTTTTTTTAAAGATTTCTTTATTTTTATTGGAAGGCCAGATATACAGAAAGGAGGAGAGCTAGAGAGGAAGATCTGTCTGCTGATTCAATCCCCAAGTGGCCACAATGGCCAGAGCTGAGCTGATCAAAGACAGCCATGCTTGACTGCTTTCCCAGGCTACAAGCAGGGAGTTGGATGGAAGTAGAGCAGGTGGGATCTGAACTGGCACCCATATGGGATTGTGGTGCATGCCAGGCAAGGACTTTAGTCGCTAGGCTACCATGCTGGACCCCATTTTGGCAGATTTTTAAGGACATGCATCCATCATCAATGTATCACACCAAAAAGTTTCACTACCCAATTTAGTAATTTCATGGTTTTTTTTTTCTTTTCCAAAAAGTCAAATGAGAGTACTTCAAAAGATTTATGGGTACACAAAAATGTTTTGAAACATAATAGGGATCTTAAAAAATACTTGGAAAATGTGTATCATGAAAAAGTATGGATTTCAAACTTTTTTGCACAACAATAAGCACTACAGTGGTTGGAATTTTACATGATACAAACATTTTAGAGCAGCTGTATTCACTTTGCAATATGTATATGAGGTTCCTCCATGTCTTTATATCATGAAATAATATGCCACTTATGAATCTACTTCAGTTTATTAGTTCACCTTTGCAGAATATCTAATTGCCTTCAAATTTTAACTATGAATAAAGCTACTATAAGCATTTATTGTGTAGTTTTTGTGTGGGGGGGTATAAGTTTTCAACTCATTTGGGTAAATAACATGGCGTTTTTTGGTAAAGTCATTTGAGTTTGGTATTCTTATCATATGAAGATTTTTTGTACAGATTCAATTTGTTTATTAACTATAACAGTACTCACATTTTCTTCTTGTTTGTCGAATTACTTTCAAGGATTTTCTGAATTTTAAAAATGTATTGGAAAATGTTTATAGTCTGTCCTCATAATTTACTGATGTCTCTACAATCTCTGGTTTTGTTTTCATTTTTTTGTGTGTGTGTTGGCCATTTATACTTTGCTTCTCCTCCCTTTTACAAGGTTAGCAGTTTTACACAAATTTCATATAACCGATTTTTGGTTCAACTGATTTCTAACTACTATGTTTTCCACTTAGCCTTGTCATTATCAGTAAACAGAAGCAAATATTTCCCACATCACCACCAGCAATATAATCATGTGTCTTTTGAATATTTTAATAGTTAGATGAGCAAAAAAGATAATTTGAATTTTACTTGGCAGATGATTAGAGCACACTATGTCAAATCCTAAAACTGCTACACATAAAGTGGTAGTTAGCCCCAACGTGGTCCTGGGAAGACTCGTTCAAGGGAGTAATGCCAGAACTAGGCTGCTGATGAAGTCCAAAGGAGTTGGTGTCAAGTGAAAAATTGCAGAAATCTAGGAGTGTAGACAATTATTAAGACTGTACATTTTGTAATTATTATACCTATCATCTTGAGTTTCTACAGCAAATGGTCAAGCATTTGAATCACAGAAGCCTGAAATATATTTTTTTTCTTTTATAGCAATGGAGGCATTCGTACACAGCTTCTTATGACATTTATGATTTAAATGAAAGGTCAGTGTTTTTCCCCTAAAATCTGTTGAACTTTTCTAAAATACCCTTCTGTGAGTTATTCTTTGGGAAAAGTTTCTTTCCTTTGTTTCTTTTTTTTCCAGGCAGTTAATCGCAGAAGGGAGAATTCCAAACAACACACAGTGGATCACATGGTCACCAGAGGGTCATAAATTGGTTAGTGAATCTCTTCTGATGTCAAAAAACATTTTGGCTCAAATATTTGATATCCAGAGGCTGCTGACTCTGGGACAAAGTAGACATCATTAACAATTGAATACTTTACCACAAATATACTGTTATTGATCAAGGCAATCTGTTTTTTGTTTGTTTTGCTAGCCTAACACAGCAAATAAAATGAAAACTTTTCAATCTTCCACCAAGGAACTGTTTCCCTGAGAAAATGCTCAATGAGTGATTAAGTTTAGTGAGTCTTGCTAATTTCTGCTAGTTTGGTGACTTCTGTGTCACTGTAACTTTTCATAGCGTATGTGCCGGGGGAACAACAGAAGTTCAAAGAATTCAAAGGACAAAGTGAATTGTTTACTGCCTTTGAACTTTTCTCTCTTGCAAACGCACCTGCACACTTCTCCTAATCCTTCCCGAAAGAATTGCACACTCACGCATCATCCTGTGGAAGTGACCATCTTTTGGGTCTTTCATCAACTTTAATATTCAAATGATCATATTGGAACTCTCTTATTTTTTTTAACAAGATTATAGCCTGTATGCTTTTAACATAAGAGTGTGAGGGAAGGAGGAAACAAATGAGTGTTCATTCTCAAGCTAAGCAACCAACTGTGGTCATCATTGACAATGCATGCATAAATGTTCTTGAAATTGCAGAAGTTATTATTGATGGCATTACAACTTTTCACTTTTCTAGGCATATGTTTGGAACAATGATATTTATGTCAAACTTGAGCCAAATTTACCAAGTCAGAGGATCACATGGACTGGAAAAGAAGATGCAATATATAACGGAATAACTGACTGGGTTTATGAAGGTAGAGACTTTAAAGCTTATTCCTATCAGAACATTAATAAGCTTTCGAAAATATCTAAACATTTCTTTAAAATGGGAACATCCAATGGAATTAAAAATAACTTGCACCTTTAAATATGTCATCACCAGGTGTCTTTGAAGACCAGGAGTGTCCTAACAGTAGCTACCGCTGCTTCTGTCCCAGTTATTCCACAATACCACTCTTGTCTTTACAAAGAGCCTTTCTGTGTGGGTAGCTATTCTGTTTTTACCAGGGCATAAAATGTCTCGATTAACATCAGATGTGTCTAACCAAGTCTACCTGATCCAGAAGTTACTAAGGGAATCTAAATGCATAACATTGAAAAATGTTATACAATATTTTATGGAGGTGGGAGAGACCAGAGGGAGAAAATGTCTGTTCCTGACACAATTTGAACAGATCATGGTTTGTAGTTTTTAAAGAAGAAAAAACAATAATAATAATAATAATAATTAGACTCAGGGGAAAAAATGAATACAAAGCATGAATAAAGAGCGAGTAAAGTGTTCAAAAGGTGTATTTCCTCTTTCAGGTTAAAGAATTTTAGAAACTATTAAGAAATATTTTAGATACTTGAAAAGGGTTTTTTTTTTTTTTTGCTTGCCAAGATGAAAGGTATTTTAAGACCTTTTCAAACCAATGACAAGATTCCTTCATGCTTATTATAAAGATTCATCCTTAATAGAAAGACGCCTATTATTTCTTTTTGGAGTTCTTTGCTTCATCACTTAATTTTGCTGCTTACCCAATATAAGTTAAATTTAATTAACAGATAACTTTATAGCAACAATAAATTGTGTTTAAAGAAAGACCATGATCCAGAAGTGTTCTGATGAAAAACATGATAATGAAATATACTCACCCTAATTACTCAGAGGTTCTTTACCTCTTGTCGCACAGCACATTCAGCCTCTGGGATCATCTTTATGGAAGAACAAAGCTTCTTCCAAAGCCATGACCCCCTACCCTCACTCTGCAAGAACATCTCAGTGTCCCCAAGATAAGCATACAACTAGCACTCAGCATTCTTTCTAAAGTGGCAGGAGGGACCTCACTTTGCCTGGCCATGACTAAATCATTAACATGGATGGTTTCACAGCTCAGTATTGATCTTAAAATGAGACCTCAGGGGCTGCTGCACATTTGGTCCATCAGTTAAGACAGCACTTGGGACACACACATCCAATATCAGAGTGCCTGCAGTCAAGTCCCAGTGACACTTAATGAAAAGAAACTGTCTAGAAAGATATTATTGCACTGCCATATGGGAAAAAGAGGCTGTATATTCAAATATAAATACTAATTGAAAACAGAATGCTTCCTGCTACTTGCACTTGCAAGTAGTTTTAAAAACCCAAAATCTTGCTCTAATTGTGTCTGCTTTTGTCATTTCAACTGTGTAGTACAACAGATTCAAACAGTAAAAGCTACAAGGAATGAGACATCAATTACATATAATGAGGAAATTCTTAGCAGATACCTTTGACTTGGAGTCCTAAAATCTGACTTTGAATCTTCAACTAAGAAATTAATCCAATCTCTCCAAACCTTGGTTTCCTTGTCTATAAAATGGGCCATGAATGGACTTACCTAGGGATCTTGCTTGGGGCTATAATAGATGATTTCTGTAAATTTTGAATTGGCACTTAAATGTAACTTAATTGGAGAGTAGGCTGCCTTGGTAGGCAGTAGGTTTTCTGCTTATAGAATTGTTCAGCTAGAGGTAGGAAGGGATAATCCACCATGGAGGTGAAAAGCATGGACTTAAATCTGAAATCTCTGAGTTAATTCTGGATTATACCAGTTATTATGTGATCCTAGGTAAATTCTCCTCTTTAGGTCTGTCTCACTTTGTTCATCTGTACAATGGTTATTGTGAGGATTAGCTTAAATAATAGATTCCAATTCTTACAGTTTATTGTTGATAGTCATCAGATGTCAGCTGTGTGTTAAAATCAATGTTAATAGTGTTGAAGCATAATTTTGCTGAACTTGGCAGATTTTAGGTCTAAACTGGCTTATAACTCTAACAAGGCATATATCAACAGTTGAGGTGCAGAACAGTTTTAGGAGGGCTGTGCAGAGAAATCTTCAATACCTTAGCGAGGAGTAACTAATCTTTGTGTCCTACCTAGTGAGGTATGTGTGAGTCCACGCTCACCATTTCCTGTCTGGTTCTAAGCTTTCCTTGTTGCTCTCTGAAAATAGACACAAGACAGCTGACTAGTAACCTATAGCCATTTTAAGGTGCATAGAACCTGGTTGTATATAAACTAAAATTGAAATGTCAATGAGGTAGTCACAGGATGTGGTTAAGAACTTGCATTTTTTTAACATATTGGTTACTCAATACCATGTCAAATAATTCCATAATGTTGTAAATTGTTGTTGATGTTATATTGTGGCTTTTAATTGATTGGGATGATATTCTGCCAGTTCTGCCTTCAGATCAGAGATGGTCTTCCCAAGAAACCGTTGAATTTATCTGAACAGTAAGATGCTGGACTCTATGCTTGATATATGCTTGCAATGAAAGAATCTTGACTGAATTTAACTGTACTACTGCAACAAGGTGGAGGAATCCACCATGGTGGGAGGGTACTATGGGGAGGGGTTAGGGGAATCCCAGAGCCTATGAAACTGTGTCACATAATGCAATGTAATTAATAAAAAACTTTTTTTAAGATGGTAAAAAATAAAATCAACGTTAAATTATATATTTTATGTATATGTATGTCTATGACAACTTCTACTTTTAATAGTATTAAAAATGCATTTTGAAGCAACTTGTGAAGAGACCTCAATCACCACAGAAGTGTTTTGCAATACCTGTATTCCCAATCCTAAGATTCTAGCCGCTGTGTTTTGCTTTTGCAATTACAATCACATCATGACCTGAGACTTGCAGATTAAAAAGGAGTCTCCAGCCAATGTACCTGAATCCTCCATTCTTTCATTATTTTTATTTTTGATGGCTTTTACATAGTGGATTAGGGTGATTAGAGTTAGGGCTACAGAACAGTGAGTGGGAGCAACATTTCCACATTCTCTCTTCTTTTTTCCTCCCTACATCTGGGGGAAGGAGGAAGTCAAGGAGAGAAGCCACCCCCCAGCCTCCCAAATGCCTTAGCACCCTGTGAATCCTCCATTCTTAGTTGGTAAAAGAGGTATTAACATTTTAAGAGGCAGAGATTGCAATATCCCCCATGCATGGATCCTACCATAAGCCTAGGAAGGAGTGACTTTTGCCAGAGATTGAACCCAACATTGAACTGGAAAACAAGATCTTTTTTTTTCCATTTACCTGCCTTTTTCTATTTCCTCTCCCATCCTACACAAGAGGGGAGGGTGTTAAGCCAAAGAAATCATTAAGTTTCCAGGCTAGGCAAAGGAGATGTTTCTCAGCAGGGGTCTCACAGAGTTCCTTGCCATTCTAAATCCATCCCTTCCCACACCTACTTTGTGCCAAGAGTAGTAAACTCTGGGCACCATATTGATTTCATAGCCTGGAGCTACACACCACCCACCAGTACCCTGTGGGCTCAGTACAAGCTGAGCCCAGTTGAGAGTGTGTTGGCATGTGGACTGTTTGAAAAATTAGAAAGGAGAATCAGCCTCCTGTGTGAAATTTACTTTTAGTATGTTTTGAGGCATAAATTTAGAGGATTATAAGATAAAGAAAAACTGTAGTGCTTATATTAAATATTGCGTGCTAAAATATTCTAAAATGGTCCAACGGGTTACTTATTTTCACAATCCAGATATATCTGTGTGGAATTTATTTTTATTCATTTGTATTACTCTGATTTTGGAAGCCCGGCAAATGCAAAATGATTCATTAGTTGAACTCTACTGTAATTACTAAAGCTAATGAGGACAATATTTTGAATGCCAAAGCCAATTTATCAGCTATTTCTTGTAAGACAACAATCTATGTCTTTTTGCAGAGGAAGTCTTCAGTGCCTACTCTGCTCTGTGGTGGTCTCCAAACGGCACTTTTCTAGCATATGCCCAATTTAACGACACCAGAGTCCCACTTGTTGAATACTCCTTCTACTCTGATGAGGCGTTGCAGTACCCAAAGACTGTGCGGATTCCATATCCTAAGGTCTGTGCTCCTTTCTGTAGAGTGTTTCTGTGATTTGATGGGAAGAGAATGGTTTCATGTAATCCTTTCCTGCTAATGAAAATATTGTCAGTCTCTCTTCAACAGCTTGCTGTGATTACTCTTGCTGAAGTCAACAGCATCTGGCAATTTTAAAGTATTTTTATTATCCCAGGAAAGAGTGTGATTTAAGGTTTTGTAATTTCTCCAAAAACTTTGAGGAATGACAAGCAGAAAAAGATGGGGAAATACTTTTGAAAAAGGAAGATAGGGAGAATGGAAATGTTTAAATGGAGGGAAAGAGGGGCTTAATTGAATCAGGAGCTCAGCTCATTTGTGCAAGTTGGAATGTGCCCTAGATGAAGTTAAAAAGCTTGGTTATGTATTAGTTTGTATTGCTGATTAGCAGGATACAGTACCCAACTAGTTTTAGTGGTTCTGTTTTAAACTTGGCATGAAAGTCAATTTTGCACATCCTACATTTGTAATAATAGTGGAATGTCTTGGTTTACAAGGCTGATTTCCCTCTTGAGGATGTGTGTTTATTAAAACTAAAGAGTTCTGTCAAGCAGCTTAAGCCAAAAAGAAGGAGGATTTAGATGGAAACCAGGGACTCTTCCTAGTATCATATTAATAACGGCCACAGCACCATCAGTAGGAGAATCTACTAGCAAACTGTTTTTGCTGTAAGCCATTTGGAAAAAGAAATTTTTATTTTTACCAACTTAATTTGCTTTATGAAGAGCTGCCATTTTAGGAAGAGAGAGGAAGTAAAAAGAAAAAAAAAACAGAGACTAAATATGGAGTTGTTTTCAGTGGGATGTTATTTTTTGATGAGCAAAATTGGCAAAAAAAAAAACCTCATAAAATGTTCTCACTAAAAATATCATATTATTTCTAACTAATCTGTCAATTCAAGATCTATGTGTATATTTAGAAAGGTTTTGTAGGTTTCTGTCATAATATTGACTGTAAAGTTCCAACATAGTGAACCTGAATTTGGAGTGGAAATTGTGGCTTCCTAATTAGCATCATTGGCTCTCGGCTCAGGTACTAATTTTCCTGGTGGATTGTGTCTTTGGCAGAACTGAAGGTGTTCTTCATGGTGACAGCCATCAAAGACTCGTCTTATGGAGTCAGGATATACATGCAAATAATAGAATTGATTTCTTAGAGGTTTATCTTTGCTTGCACAAAATATATTAACTACAAATATATTAACATTCATTATTTAAGCAGAAGAATGTTGGACCTTGGAGTTGTGTGCCTCTCTCTCTGTGTCCATACATAAATAAATGTTACATTTCTGCCAGAACAGGAATAGATTGTATTATTCACATTATTTATATTATAAATTATTTGAATATGTGTAATATGGTGTTATGGCCGTATATAATGTTATGGCCATAATTTGATGTTTTGTGTACTTTTAAATTTATGCAATAATATTATTTATTGTCAATTCTAATTCTGCGATTTTTTTAAACCTAGGCAGGAGCTGTGAATCCAACTGTAAGGTTCTTTGTTGTAAATACAGACACTCTGAGCTCAGTCACTAATGCTACTTCCGTGCAAATCACTGCGCCTGCGTCCATGCTAATAGGGTAAGATTCCTCACCCGAATAGTTAAGTTGTGAACAGTTTCACACTCTCCAAGGAAAATGCTTCCAACATGAATGCAAAGTCAAGGGCAGCATCTCATTGTGTCACTCGGGATGGCCATCCTTCATGCTCTCATGCAGCAACTCTCTTGAGCATCCATTTCCTCTCTTTAGGCTGGATACTGTTCTAGTGGTAAGGGTGGACCCATCACTAAACAACAGCCTTTTTGGTGATCTTCCAACTGGGGGAGGCAGATATCAGCCAGATAAGAAAGTAACAATATATAAATAACCAAATAATAATCAGTTTGTGCAAAAAAAAAAGCAAAGCAAGGCCAATGTGAAAGACTGACCCAAGGAGGACAGGGATCAGCTCACACAGAAAGGCACGAACCTGTGTGCATGGATATGTGGGGGCACAGTGAAGGGCAAAGGAAGATCAGTGCAAAGGCCCTGCTTGTGAGTAGCAGCAAGGAGTCCAAGGTGACTGCCACCTTCTGAGTGCTGGAGAATGGTCAGGGATACAATCAGATAGCTAATCTAAAGGCCAGGCAAGGCCTAGAGAAAGACTAGGGGAATGATGGACTGAATACAGGAACTGCCATTGTCATTGGGATCCCCAACAGGTCACTTTTCAAAATAATTCTTCCCTAAAGCATCTTCAGCCCCTTGTTTATTTTCCTGCAGATATCACTATTTTGGGTGCAGTGGATGACTAGCAAATACCTCTTGATTCATTTCTACTGTTAGTGTCAGTTTTATCATGTTAAATAATTTCATATATTTTTGTTTGAAAGGCAGATTTTCAGAGAGAGATGGACAGATGGAGAGGGAGAGAGAAAGTGAGATCTGCTGTTAACGCCCCAACTGACCAAAATGACTTTAGCTGTGTTGGTCTGAAGCTGGGAGGCAGCAGAAACCAGTAGCTTCTCTTGAGCTTCCCACATGAGTAGAGGCACCTAAGGAATTGACCATCTTCCACTGCTTTCACAGGCCACTAGCAGGGACCAGGCTTGAAAGTGGAAAGCCAGGTCTCAAACATTTTATGGAATACCAGCACCACACTTGAAGAATTAGCCTGATATGCCACGGCACCAGCTTGGAGGTTTTGTCATTGTGCTAAAATGAACCTTTGTGGAGCACTCACTTTGTGCCACATACCTTTGAAGGAACTCTCTCTTTCCAACATCTGTCACCATATGTCCATTTTACAGATAAAATAATGCGGCTTCAAGGTTAAGAAAGTAACCAAATAAGATTCTGTATTTTAGCCTTTCTGACTTGAGAGAAAGAACCAAACACTCTGCTTTGCACCTCTCACTCTAAATAACAGCTGGGCGCCCTCAAATTGCAGCATCAGGACAGTGCAGGAGAGCAAGTCTTCTCTGGGCTGGCATTAGTTGTCTCAGCTAGGCTGTGGACTATGCACTGTGGTTCATAATTTATTAGCTTGCTTAAAGATAGCTATATTCACCTGGTCATTCAGGTGGTGATCATTAATTATGAGTAAATTAGCAGGCCTTTTGTTTCTTTGCTTGTTTGTTTTTTGCCTAAATTCACCTAACATAATGCTTTACCCAAAATTTCTAAAATATGTCATTTGGTCCCACCCAACCACCTCTTAAATATATAGTACACATCCCTTGTTTACACCCCCAAATATTCATAGATGGGACTTCTGTACTCTAGTAGTAAGCCCCAGGTACAATATCAAACATGCAGATAAATGACTGCAAGAGTGGTCGGAGAGTGGCATCGGTAACTGGCTCAAGGCATCTGAGGAGAGGAGAGGAGATGGGTTTTCTTTCGTCCCAGGTGTTAAAGAAAGCATTCTGCAGAATGTGCTGATCAGGCAGAGTTCCAGTGAGAGGGAAGGGCACAGTAAGTGGGAAAGGCACTGAAGTTGAGCAAACAGAGTGGGAAAGTGCAAGGCTTATCCAGGGAAAGCCTGACAGTTCCTGGCACAACCTCTTGGTCTCTAACAGACATCTGCCTTCAGAGAGAATGAATTGTGGACACCTGTTCGGAAAAAGATTCCATCTTGAAGAAGTGTAGGTCTCATCAGTGGTTTATAAACTTTTCTTTATGGACCCAGAAACCTCTGTTTGAGTGAGATAGGATGCAAAAATTACAGTATCAGAAATCCAACAAAAAATCTCAATCAGGTTGGACAAGCCTAGTCCTTTTCTGCTCTTCTCCCACCAAGAACATTAGGGTATTAGACAAACCCTGGTACAACTCCAAAAAACAGTCAGAAAACCACTGGGAGACACAGATGGGAGAACAGAGGCTCAGAGAACTGCAAGCATTTACTCAAGGTCATATGGCAAGTTAGTAGGGAAGCTGCGAATAGATAGAAGGCCTGCACCTGCCGTATCACAGTGAAATAGTGGAGTCAGAATACATTGGAATAGTGGAGTCAGAATGCATTGAGCAATTTCCCTGGGCTGAGACCCTGTTTAAGGTTCTGCCCAACGCATTTATTCACTGAATACTGTCATTTTCACAGCCATTTTAGAGGCAAAGAGACAAAGTCTATTGCCGCTTAGAAATCATTGTCCAAGGCACATTTGTGTAGTGCTGAGATCAGAGAGCATGGAGAATCCTAAGGATTTCTTTTTGCCCAGGGCCAATTAGCTATTAAGTCTCTTCTTGTAGTCCTTTAAACTGCACTCCTGGCAAGTATTGCTTCACTTTCTGTGAATATTTTATGTGGAATGCATATTATTAAGAACTCATCTCTGAAAATGCCACAAAATGTGTTACAAAGGCAATTTAAAATGTAACTTTGGTCTTCATTCTACTGGTGAGGTTCTGGGTTTTCTAAAGCTGAACTTGAGGTAGTTTTTTAAAAATCTGATTATTTACTTGGAAGTCAGAGTTAGAGAGAAAGAAAGGGAGAGAGAGAGAGAGAGAGAGAGAGAGAGAGAGAGAGAGAGAGAGAGAGAGAATGAATGCGATTTTCCACCTACTGGTTCACTCCTTAAATGGCTGCAACACCCAGGGCTAACGTCAAGAGCCAGGAGCTTCCTCCTGATCTCCCACATAGGTGCAGGGTCCCAAACCCTTCAACTTCTTCCACTGCTGTCCCAGACTGTTAGCCAGAAGCTGAATTGGAAGCAGAGCGACCAGAGCATGAATTTATACCCACATGGGATGCTGGTGTTGCAGATGGTGATTTTAGCTGCTATATTACAGTGTTGGTCCCTGAGACTTTAGGTCTTTTGAGAGGAACAGGCTTCCATGCACCTTGCTTTAGCATCTTGGGGTCCTGCAGGACCAGATAAACCCAGGTACACTATACTAGTCAGTAAACTGCGCCCCTCCTCCAATCCTCCCTCCAACAGTGCTCCTCATAACTCAACTAATTTCCGGAGCATGGGTCTTTCCGGGTTCCGTACTTCTCTTCCTTCTCCCCACATTCCGCTCATTGATTTTCCCATTAGGCCATGTCTCTTCACCATACAGGTTCCAGTCACTACGTCTTAAGAGAGGATGAAGCTGGCATATGGCTTTGCTAGATGTTAGCAGCAATGAGTAAAGATAGGGCAGAAGTCTTGCTCCTCTGATGGCTTGTGGGAGGAGTAGGCACTCAGAGCACATTTCCAACACCCAGGCTTGCACTGGAGAGAGGGCTAGCCATCCTGCACCCTCTTTTATATGGAGTTAATATTAATTATTAACTTTCTTAACTTGATCATTTGTATTGACTCCTCACAATGGAAAATTGAGAGCTCAAAATATTCATAGAATAAATTAACATGGTTGATGAAAGGATGGAAAGGGTTAACCAGGGATTTTGTGTGTAAAATGAGAGCTCACACAGCTGCAATAAGGAGAGTCTTCAAGATGGTCTTGCTCAGTAATTGTTTTCTACCTCCTTCCAGCTGTTTGTAAACCAGGTATCCTGAACCTAGAGGGTTAGAGCAGGCCAGTTCTACTGAGATGACCTCACCCAACATCTGCTGAGTGACTCCAGGGACCCTCCACACCCAGATCATGACATGTTTCATCCCTCATCTTTCTGCTCCTGAGAGACTCAGGAGATAAAAACTTAACTCTGTCTTCCCTTGACGGTGCTTGGTAGTAGAAGCTGGAGCATCAGGTCTTGAGACTGTCACATAATAGATCAGTTAACTGAACTGAGATGCCCTTGAAATTAGTGACACCTACAAGAAAGAAGGCAGATTCAGACTGCCGAGTTATTGGTGCTGCATCCTCAAATCTACTCCACATCCCTCCACCCATTCCTGTTAGCGATCTGTTAGAAGACCCGAGAGGGTTGGCATCTCTATCACAGCAGAGGGTGGCACCGAGCCCACGGCCAGCACTGGCTGTACGCCTGCTTCCTCGAGTGACTCATTGAATTAATCACTCTGCGGTCTGCAGTTGCTCTGAGTAGCATTTTTTTCCCTACAATATTCTTTCCAGTTAGCAGTGCGTACCTTACTTTTGTCTTTCATGCACAAAAAGAGTCATTTACACAAACTAGAGCCATGAATACCACTCAAAAAACGTATTCAATAACTATTGCTTGCAAGGCAGTGTGCTAGGACAGGCAGTCATTTTCAGGGGAATTCCCATAACATGATTTTCAAAAGCAAGTCTATTTTAGTGTGTTCAGATATGATTTGTTTTATAAAATTTAGTTTGCACACAACACTTCAGGAATAAATAGATTTCATTGAGTGAGATTTTTTTTTCTTTTTTCTTAAAAACAAGAAAGCAAAGCTAGCCAGCAGTGTTTCCCAAAGGAATGGATGGAGGTTCCAGGGTAGGTGCAAGTATGAGCAGAAAATCTAAAGCCAACTGTTTGATTTGAATCCTAGCCCCAATAGTTCTCAGGTAGGTAATCTAGAGCAGGTTACTTAGCCAACAGCACTTCTGTTTCTTCCTCTGCAAAGCATGAACTACATGGTCCTGGCCTCATAGGGTAGACATGAGCACTTGAAACAGTTCTGAAACTTAGTACATTCTACATGGGTGTGAGCTCTCACCGAGTCCAGAAGTTACTTCATTTCTTTATGCAGTGTGCCATTTTCTACAATCTAGAAGAGCTTGTGGAATAACTGTGTCTAGCTTAGGAGAAGCAGTCCAATTTCCTGAAAGGCCCAGCAGCAGGTGCAGTGTTTCTTCAACCTTCCTCCTCCAACCATTGTGTCATCAAAGTCACAGTGCTTATCTCTGTGTTGTGATGACAATGAGCATGCAGTGTATAAAAACATTATTGATAATCTACTTGTTGAATTTCTTTTTTCTTAGGAAGAATGGACTTAAGCCTTTCAACAAAAAGTACTATTGAGCCATTGGTTTATATCTTTTTTATGATTCTTTAATATCTCAGTGTGATATGGCCTTGGCTTAGGGCAGTGATTAAAGAGAATGTTTATAAGAAAATCCCAGATAATGTCAATATCAGGATACACTTCAAAGATGTATGACTGTACCCAAAGGACTATACTATTGTAGTAATATAGGAAAAATCAGTGGAGGCAGAGGAACTGGGGAGGGAGAGAGGGAAGTCCCTGAGCCTATGGAACTATATCATAAATAAATTAGCTAATTAAATAAATAAAAAGAAAATCCAAGAAGTACTGGCAGTTGACTGGCAGCTTCTGCGGAACGAGCACAGGGTACAGAGTACACCCTGGGCCTTGGGGAGTAAAAATGATAGTGAGGATCCAGGTTCATTACACTTTGATCTGAGAGTGGGCAGGGAAGGAAGGCAACTGATACACGTGCGTTTCCTGGCCAACTTTCAAAATTCCATTACTCTGTTTTTCAAGCATGGTGAAGTGTTTTCATAGTGCTGATTTCTGAGCCAGAAGTAGTTTATTGCCTTTAATAAACAAAGCTATTACATACTAATCAGGGAAAGAATGCCTCCTCATTTGTCCCTTCCTCATTAGAACACTTTTATCAAAAGGAAGAGCCATGTTTGGTGCCTGTCTTCCTACTATATGCCCATGGAACCCCCAGAAACCATCTATGAGAGCATAGAGACTTATATAAATTTCATCAGATTAGATGCTGAAAAGCAAGAACTACTGGCAAAGGAAACGAGACTGTTGTAAAACAGGGTGCATGGGCAAATTCCAGCCTGACACCTGTTATTTTAATATTTTCTTTGTTTATTTGAAAGCCTCAGAGACAAGCAGAGACTCCCCACCTGCTGGTTTACTCCCCAGCACTGATAGCCAGGTAGTCCAGGGTGAAGTTAAGAGTCAGAAGTCAATCTGATCCTCCCCTGTTGGGGAGGAGACCAGGCCCAACTACTGAGCTGCCTCCCAGGGCATGCATTAGCTCAAAACTGGAAATAGGACTGAACATCAGGAAACAGGACACTGCCTTCCCAACTAGGATCTAAATATACCACATGCTGCCCTTGTCACCCTTTTTGTATGGTCCACAGTAAGAATCAATTTCACATTTTTAAATGGCTGGAATGAAAAGTCAAATGAACACATTTCATGAAGTGAAATTATATGAGATTCAAATTATAGCTTTTCCCTGGAGCATAGCTCTATTCATTTGCCTATTGTCTCCAACTGCTTTTTTATGACAAAGTTGAGCAGAAGTGATCAAGAACATGTAAACCACAAAAATTAAATACTATTTTGCCTTCTGTGGGAAATTTGTTGACCTCTGGTCTAGAAATTTAATTTTTAAAAAAGATTTATTTATTTTTATTGGAAAGGCAGATACACAAAAAGGAGGAGAGGCAAAGAGGAAGATCCTCCATCTGATGATTCACTCCACAAGTTGCCACAATGGTTGGAGCTGAGCCAATCTGAAACCAGGAGCCAGGAGCTCTTCTGGGTCTCCCATGCAGGTGCAGGGTCCCAAGGCTTTGGGCCGTACTTGACTGCTTTCCCAGGCCACAAGCAGGGAGCTGGATGGGAAGCTGGGCCACCAGGATTAGAACCGGTGACCATATGGGATCCCGGGCATGTGCAAGGCGAGGACCTTAACCACTACGCTATCATGCCGGGCCCTAGAAAATTAATTTTTAAAAGTGTTGTCTCTTATCTTGCTTTTCATTCCTCCCTCTTCTGTCAAGATTTATTACCTTTTCTGGATCAGGTTAATTTTTCTTTCTGTCTTTTTATTTAACTTCTCTGCCTTGGGCAAATACAGAGAGTTTGATTAGATGAGGTGTTGCTGTCCATTCCTGTCCATTAGCATGCAAAGAGGCATTTGCACTTCAGACCTGTGGCCTGGCCATAAGTGTCATAACACTAACATTGATGAGTTAGAAGGACTGACTTTCCAAGAGAACAATATGAGCAATGGACATTTAAGCTAAGACCTAAAGAAACTATCACATGGCAGTCATTTGCACTGAGGGACAAGAGTGTAAAAGAGGATAGTAGAGAAAGCCGTTGGTGCATTTATGAGAATATTACCTGTCGAGACTAGAAAGATTACATAGTTCCTCAATAGGCAAGAAAAAATATTTTGATAGGAAAGAGTCTTCATCTGGGAATGTGGTGCTTTGCTCTGGGCCTTAGCACCTGAACCTACAGCACAGTCAGAGCAAGACCCAGTGGTACCCTGCACATTTGCACATGAAGTGTCCTCAGGTATACAAGGGAAGCTAAGAGGAGGTTACAGCCTTTATCCTGGACCTGAGTTCTCTAAATATTTGTTGTTAAAAAAGTGAGACAGGAATTGATCTGTGACTTCAAGGACAGAGATTGTGGGGCTGCATGAGTCAATGCTGCATTCCGGATTCGATGAGAACCTGTTTAATGTCAAGCATTTTGCTAGGCCTGGGAAGTATCATGTGGCCAACATAAGATGTGGGAGCTACCTTGAAGAACTTGCAGTGAAGCAGGGAGAACAAAGTGAGTGAGAGGAGGGGACAGACACAGCCTGAGCTGGGGATTGTTAGTAGAGTACTTGGTAGAAGGGAGACACAGCCATGAAATGTGGCAGGAAGGGAGAGGATGAAAAGATTCGCTTGAAATCTGACAACAGGGAGCAAGGCTTTGATCAGACATTGGAGTGGAGAAACTTATGAGTAGTCTCCTGGGATCACACTGTGGGAGGGGAGGAAAGCAAAAAATATATAGAATAAAAAGCAGGAAAATAAATGATCAGAGCAACTATGTTGGGGAAGCTAGTAGAAAGTAAGCGAAACATTCCCGGTACTTCTCCCTAAATCAGAAGGTGGTCCCCCAAATACTGAAAGGTCTGTGCTCTGGGAGGAAGCACTGCTAGAGATATCTCTGTTTATATAAATTTGTGTTGAAATACCAGCAGGTTCCTTAATTTGCTCATATGGTTCATGTTTTGACTCTTGAGAAATGTTTTTATAGAATGTAATCTTTGATTTTCAAAGTGTGGAGGTGTGACTCAGTTTTTCCCCATTTAAAAATAAAGTTGAGAGAAAGTTCATCTATAATCTCACCCACGTAAAAGAATCTTCTGGAGAAACATGTCACATTACCAGAACACGCTCAAATACACTGGCTTCACTGTACTGTTGCCTAAAGACAGCAGAAAGATTAGAAAACATCACCCTGGACTTCCTGGTACTCCCAAGGGTCAGCCTGGGGACTTGAAAAGCTTTGGACACATGGTTTTGAGTCAAATGTTAAGCCACTGAATGATGGTGACTTTGCTATTCCTGTCTCTTAAATTTCCATTCAAAATCAAATTGCACTTTAAGCTTGAGAAGAGTGAATTAAATGATTTAATAAACTGATTTGAATTCTACTTTCCATTAGGGTTGATTTCTTTACACAGAATAAAATATCTATTTGTACCGAAGTATGGGAACAATAATATTCATCAATATTCTCTCTCTCTCCCTACCATTCTTCTCACATTCTCCTTTTCTTCAATCCAGGGATCACTACTTATGTGCTGTGACGTGGGTCACACCTGAAAGGATTTCGTTGCAGTGGCTCAGGAGGATTCAGAATTATTCAGTCATGGATATCTGTGACTATGAAGAGTCCAGTGGAAGGTGGAGTTGCTCAGTGGTAAGAGTGATTCAGGATGTTCTGCTTCTAAATCAACATGGGATCAAGGAGGATAAAGATTAGGAAACAGGAAATGAGATCTGAGCATCTTTTCTTTGTGTCCCTGAGGCAGTGGGTAAGTCTTGGCAGAGCCATTAGCTAAGCCCATATACCCTTCAGTGTTTTCATTTCACCTGCTCGTTGTCCTGGCTTAGATATGGCTACACTCAGCTGGGAAGGAGACAGAAGTGGCGATGACTGGAAACTCAGAAAACAGAACCTGATGTGATTTAAAAAAAAAAAAATCAGAGAGAGAGGGGGCTACATGCTGAAGTAAGTTATGTTTTAGCAGAGAAAATACAGGAAATGGGAACAACTAGCTGGTGTATGTAAAACAAACCAATCGTAAAGAAGGCTCGGGCCCATTACAACACTGTGACTATCTTTAAGTGAAAAACAACTTTAGGACTTCAAAGATAACCACCAGCCTGAGAAGGGGACAACATTGAGGCAGACTCATTGTGTTTTTTAACTTTTATTTATTTATTTGAAAGTTAAGAGATACAGAGACACAGAGGGAGGAAGGGAGAGAAGGACGACAGAGAGAGAAAGAGAGAGAGAGAGAGAAATGAAAGAGGTGGGGGAGAGACAGAGAGAATCTTCTATGCACTGATTCACTCCCAAAATGTTCACAGTGGCTTCGAAGCCAGAGCTTCATCGATTTCTCCCACATGGGTGCAGGGTTGAGCTCTCTGCTGCTGCTTGCCCAGCTGCATTAGTAGGGAGATGGTTTGAAAGTTGAACAGCCAGGACTTGAGCTGGCACCCAATATGGCAGTGGCTTTACCCACTAAGCCCTAGTGCCAGCCTCAGACTCAGTGTTAATGCAACCTTGAAGTATTGGGCCAGAAGACTGCAAGGCTTAGCTTGGCTGGTAGATAAAAATTAAAGGTGTGTTGGAAACCAGAGCCTCAGTAAGGACACAGCATGAAAGAGGTTTGCTGGCATATGTGTCCTTCTCCAGCTGTAGGAGCTGGATATACAGATTTCTGCTCCTAGCTTTGTCTCAGCTGGGGACAGAGCAAATTCTCCCCTCTCTTGATTAATGCATTTATTTATTTATGCAACAAGCATTTAATATTTACTACATTCCAAATTCTCTGATAATATATTCCATATAAAATGATGCAGGTAGCATGCAAGTCCCCCAAATGTTTCCATCCAGATATGGGACACCATTATAGAAATAAATCATTATAGGTTCTATTTTTTGAACACCTACCACATGGAGATGGAAGCTTGATGAGTTTAAGGAATCCGCATGGGTCACAGGACACAACCAGAACTGAAAAAGTACAAAAGCCATGCTCCTTGCTTCCTGTCAATTAAATCATCATAACATTAAAGCATTGTACCTTGAAAGGGTTTAATAAAAGCACACAGGAATTGTAGGACAGAAGGATCCAATTGGCTTGTTTGGAGGCAGGTGGAGTAGGGCAAGGAAATTACATAGATGGTACAGAGAGTTGGTGGGCACAAGTTACATAAGTGGCCAAATAAGGACAAAAAGCTCATATAAATACTGGACAGTATAAGGCATAGTCTGGATAGTCTGAATAGCCTAGAACACATAGTAACTAGGTTTGTTTGCCTAGGAGCTAGTGGAGGGGCACCTTAGTAAAAAAAAGGCTAGAAATATTTGCTGAGGCTTGGGTGCCATTGTGAGAAGTTTGGACTTACTTTCCATGTAAGACATGGAAAGATGCTTAATGTTTGCAGTAAGAGAATATCATAACAAGATAATACCATCTGCCATTAAAAGAAGACATGTAGGGGCAGAACAAAGTGACAAGTAAATGGGAACAAGAGTGGCTGGAAAGCAAAGATGCTTTTGATGGAGAAGGACAGATAAGTCAAGGAAGTAGACGTTAGGGGTTGAGGGAAGTAACTATGAGAAGGGGAAGAATCGAGAATGATCCCCCAGGTTTCTGGTGTAGAGGAGTCAGTGCCATTGACAAGCAGAATGAAGGATTAGGAACAGGTTGGTGGGGATGGAGAAAAGAGGAAGTTATCTTCAGTTCTGTACATATTGAACTTAACACCAGTGGAGTTGCTCTAACAGTGTATGAGAATGGACTCAGGGCAGAGGCCTAGGCAAGAAAGATTATTGAGGATAATCACAAGAAAATATAAACATACATAAATGCATGTAAATGAAGAGAGTTTTTAATTTTCATTATAAATATGATTTTGTTTACATAATCATTTTAGACATAGTCACTTCATTTTTCCTTTTCTAGGCACGGCAACACATTGAAAGCAGTACTACTGGCTGGGTTGGAAGAGTAAGTGTTATTATTTGTGAGGTTTTTGCATACTATGGGTCACCTACTTGGAGTTATTTTATAGGTGAATATTTTACACTAGGGTCCTGTGTTAGTTGTTATTAACAACAGTATCAGTTGAGCTATTCCTGCAAATATTTAAATGTTTCCTGTAGACCACATAGCATATTCAGCTGGATAGAGCCTAGGGACAAGAGAATACCAAGAGCAGAGCAGACAAAACACATGCTCCAAACAAATTCTAGCTCTTCATAAGTTAAAAAGCAACCGTTGCTGAAAGGCAGCCAAGATGCCGAATGTGCTCTTTGACCTCATGCTTGAAGTTGTATGCCTTAGAGGCAGAAAACATGGTTTCCATCCATAGCCTTCACGAATTCCAAAGACGATGTAGCAAAAACCAGCCAAACGCAGCAGCAGCAGCAGCCTCACAATGCCGGCTCTGCACGATTCTATCGAGGAATTCGTACTCTTATGGTTCACACTTTTATGAGGCACCCAGATGCAGAGCTGTATCCAAGAAAGCATAGAGCACCTCTGACTTCTCCTTCTCAGTCTCCCTGAGTTACATGCTCACTGTGCAAATGCTAACTGTGCAGAATCACCAGTCATGTTGTTTGAAGCCAATGGAATGAAACGAAGCACCATGACCCTTGTGTGAGAGATGAAGACTGAACCTCATCTCATTTACATGACCACTTGTGTCAGTCCCTGTTTAAGAAGCATGTGACACAGGCACTGTAAGGCGCTCCATCTCATCGGTCCTAGGGGTGAGACCCCCCCCGTGCAGGAAGACCACTCTGCCTGCTGAATTTAGGGCTCTGGTAGCACTCACATGTCCTTTTTCTTCAGGCATTGATTGGGCAGAGGGGAGAGGTTTGCCAACATGAAAAGTGGTTTCCTCCATGGCAAGAGACACGCTACACTTCCTCACGACTCTTTGAAAAAAAATATGTTTTTTCCTCTCTGTATTTAACCAGACAGATGCCACTTTTCACACATTTCTACTAGGCACAACTCCATCCAGGGGAAACAGGGAAATGTATTAAAAAGATAAGGCTGTGAACACAGGTCTAGAGAGGGGAATGTGTTTCAGAGCTCTGTAATGAGAACACCAAGTGTACTGCACGCCTCAGCTTGCTCCATAAATGAATTTGCTTTGAATCACTAAATAGAAGAGGGAGCATTTTTCTTCCTTTCCAAAATGGGAGCTGATAAGAGAGGAAACATCGAGGGTGAAGTGAACCAACAATTTTAAAAGACCATCTTCCACTTTTACCTGCTCCCAAATGCAGCTAGGAAGTTGAAATCATAACACGACATCCTCCTCTCAGGCTGGGGTACACAATCTTCTCCTTAAAATCCTTAGTGTATTTCCTCTGCACTGTAAGAGTGCTTAGCATTATCCTTTTTATTAAATTGCTTAAAATGGGAAATTTTGTTCTCTATGTCTAGAAAACAATTTTTGTTGCTTATTGTTTACATGTAACAAAATGAGAACATTGATAATAAAAATAGCTGCATAAATGTACCCGTATAAAATGCAGAACAGATATTTCTTATGGAGCCTAGTCTAGAAATGGTTAAAAACCAAATCTGACTCTCAAAGAGAAATATGTATAAAAACAGGAAGGAATAATTCCCCTAAATTACAAACTATTCCAATCTGAAATAGTCAAAAATAATGTCTGTTCTAAGAAATCACATTTGCGACCTGGAGGAAATTTATGTCTCGAAGCAGACAAATGATATTTTCCATATGCTCATAATACGTCACAAATAATAGTAGCCAGTTCTATCGATTAAGTTTTGTGTGCAAGCTTCTTTTGTGTGATGCTTTCACTGTCTCCTTACAAAAGTGTCACCCAAAAGTATGATATTTCAGTCCTCGTTTTTAAAATTTATTTATGTAAGATTTATTTATTTACTTGGAAGGCAGAATTACAGAAATCCTTCATTTGCTGACTCATTCTACAAATGATCCCAGTGGTCAGAGCTAAGTCAAGTGGAAGTCCGGAGCCCCCTCCAGGTCTCACCTATTTGGCAGGGACTCAAGTACAGTGACCATCTTCAATTGCTTTCCCAGGAGTATAGCTGGAAGCTAGATTGGAAGGAGTGTAGCTGATACTTGGAAGGGGACCCGCATGGGATTCTGATGCTGCAGGAGTTTGCCTGACTTTATACACCACTGCACAGGTCTCCTGATCCTCATTTTAGAGAGGAATCATTTGTCCTGAGACACTGTATTTTTACTTGAAAGTAAATGAAGCAGGAGGTTGAGCTAAAGTTTGCCCTGAGGTAAGACTAATGTTAACTTAGTGGGTTTTGTTGTTCTATTCTCGATTATTTTCTAGTTTAGGCCTGCAGAACCTCATTTTACATCGGATGGCAACAGCTTCTACAGGATCATCAGCAATGAGGAGGGCTACAAACACATTTGCTATTTCCACATAGATCATCAGGTGCGTGTTCTTATGCAGTTAATTTCATGTTTATCTCTCTTTTTAGAAATTAACATGGGATGGAAATTACTTGGTAAAGTTGGTCACTGTGTACAAAGAAAGTAATTTAAGTTGTTCAATGGTCCTTTCAATGCAGTGGAATGAAAGGAGACTCGAAAAATCTCAGGACTATTTTAATCTCTGATACACACACACACACATATATATATATAATTTAATATTCCATGTAATTTTGATTAGAGGCAGCTTAATAAATCTATTTTTAAATTCCATCAGAACTGTACATTTATTACAAGAGGAACTTGGGAAGTTATTGGCATAGAAGCTCTCACCAGCGATTATCTGTGAGTATTTTAGTAATTGGTAAGATACAAATGTACTCATCATAATCACGCCCTCTTTGCCCAGAAGTAGGCAAAATTTTCCTGCAAATAAAGAGTAGTCTATTTGGAATATATTCAATACTTTTTCTTTTTCAACATACGGAAGCCTTAATGATTTTCACATATGCTTAGCAGATTTGATACCATGCCACGAAGCAGCGCTACCTCTTGCTCTTACCTGTTTTACATTACAAGAGCTACAACTGCTTTTATATGATCACTGTAGAATCCTGAACTAGCATTCGGGGGGGGGGGGGAGGGGGGCGGGATGGTGTTTAGTTTCATTTCAACCGGGGCTGAATTTTTGGAAGGCTCCAAAAGGCAATTTTATCTCTCCATCTCTCTGTCTTACACTGGGGTAGGTAAAGCTTTGCAGTGGCTTTCAAGTAACGTTAGTTAGTGAGTTGATAGAAGAGATATTGTTATTTTTATTGGAATTTTAGGTAGTTCTGTGGTCATTTTTGGTGACTTCCTGAGGAATTTTGCCCCTGCAGGAAATAGTGTCTTGAAACTCTTATTTGAAAATGGCTCTGCCACTCCAAGGATGTAAGGTCCTTATCAGTAAGGAGCTTGTATTGTAAAACAGAAACTATGCAATGACAGATCAATGGGATCTTAATTTGAGGCTTGTTGGCTACTCCTATTTTTCCTATGGAATACTCCTTTTGAATTTTTGCTTATTATTCTGTTTAAGGAAGAAATCCTTATTTTCATTTTTTTTAATCTGTTAAGAAAATTTTCCAATGAAGACAAGATGGAGGAGAGTGGCAATTGGAGAGTGATGGGGCAGAGATGCTCAGTGGAAGAAGGGCAAGTGCTAACGCACTTGTGCCTGCTCACCCATCGGGGCTTGGCATTTGGGTTAGAAGAATGTGTCTGATGTTTTTAACAAACGTAATTTTTATATATCTCATTTGTTTTTATTTCCCCAGCTACTACATTAGTAATGAATATAAAGGAATGCCAGGAGGAAGAAATCTTTATAAGTAAGAATTCTATCCATGTTGGTTTGAGTTTTTCACTGAACAATTTCATTCTTTCTTTGGCTTTTGCTAATAATCAAATTGGGACTGTTGTTAAGCACTTTTAGTTCTCTATAAATTAATATGCATGTCACACATAGAATGGCTTCATTCAATATTTTGTAGTATTTCCAAACAATGGTACATTTGATGTTATTAATTCATGTATTGAGTTCACTTAAAAAAAGAACACTTTTCAGGACTGCTTTGGCATGCTGGTACCTTTGAAAATAGAATATGGAATCATTCAGTTCCTTCCTTTCATTTTTCTCCTTTCAGCCAACACTTAATTCGCATTGTTGGTTTTACAGAATCCAAATTAACGACTACACAAAAGTGACATGCTTGAGTTGTGAGCTGAAACCAGAAAGGTGCCAGTACTATTCTGTGTCATTTTCTAAAGGTGCAAAGTATTATCAGCTGAGGTGTTCCGGTAAGTCTGAGCTGCTTGAGTGGGCAGGCACCCTGCCCACACTCACTTCTCTGTTCCTTCCATACCATAGTTACTGGGCTTGGTCACCCCTTTCACTCACCAGCTCAGAAGCCCCTCCTCTTCTGACCAATGCCTTCACCCAGTCTCCCCATGTAAAGATTCTCTTCTTGGGTTCAGTGAGGGAAGCAGTCTGTTCTGCTCTGTTCTCTCCATTTGACCACATGGATTTCTAGAAATCACCTCAATATCCTCTCCATTCCCATTTACGTGAGAACCACCATTTCCTCCTCCCTCTCCCCATCTCAAACCAAGGGATTTGCTTGATTCTCTTGCCTTGCTTTAGACTGAACACACACACACCTCATATGTAACAGCAATTGTGTGTTACAGAAGCACTTCCTGCTTATATACACACATATTATGGTTTTCTTTAAAATTATTACTTTATCCACTGACCCTTTAACTACATGGATGGTGTTCACTGCTCCATCTTTTGTTGCTATTGCTATTGTTTAGTAGACATGAAAGAACCTGGGAAAAATGCAGAGTGAACGTACAGGTCTTGCAGGGACATACAGATATTTAAGCATGAACCTTTACTTCCCAAATCAATCCTTTTGTTTGCTGAGCTAGCTTACCTCCAAATAAGAAAAAGAATATATTGTGAAAATAAAGACAAATCACAAAAAACCAGTCTCCAAAACAGCTATGTGAATTTTTCCTCGCTAATACATGTTATTATTATTGTACCTTTCTTTGTGGTTTTCACTATAGTTGTTTTTAGTCACCATTCTGTGAGCATGTGCCTTATCCTAGGCACTGGGCTAAAAGCTCTGTATAACCTTGCTTCATCCTTCCATAAGACAGATTCTGTTATCCACAGAGACTGAAGCATGGATATGTTGTCTTGAGTACAGCGAATGAGCCAGCATTCAAACCCAAGTCTGCATATTGCCTTGACTGTCATTTCAATCACATATAAAATTAATATTATCATCCAAATTTATCAAAAGCTAGATCACTCCCAGAGTAGCTTTTCTATACATTACCTTCCTACTCTGCAACTACCACAGTTGGGATAAATAGTGAAGATATGGGCTTGTGAGAAAAACACTTTTGCATGCCAGAAAGGAATTGCTTATCCAAGTCAGGCACTGCAGATGTGTGCCTGGCTCCCGGACTCTGTGGGACTGAGACAACAGAGAGGAGACCTGCCCCTCCCCCAGGTGGGGCTGGCTCCAGAACTCTGCCCACAATGCTGGGAGGAGGGCAGGACTGGACAATGTGGTCACCCCAGGCTCTGGGATTGATACTGGGGGAGGATAGCAACTCTCAGTACAGCCTACTGGTAAGGAAACGGGTTATAGAGATGATAATGTGTTCAAGACACCAAAGAGGGTAGAGCTTTATTTCCAAATTCTTTCTCCTGAGTCCTGTGCCTTTCCAGTGATTATTCTTAGACCCAAATCACAGTCATTTTAAAGAGAAAAAAAACACAATTATTAAGTTTTATGAAGATTCTGTAATATTTATTTTGTGCTCCACCTAACCAAACTCATGAGAAATAGTATCTTTGAAAAGTGATCCATGCTTTTCTTGTTAAATACTCACTGATAACATAGCTTTCTCCGACTCTGTTAACAGGCCCTGGTCTACCTCTTTATACTCTGCATAGGAGTGCGAATGATCAAGGTATTTTTTCATACTTCACTCTTGCTTTTAAGAAAGTGCATGTGAATAAGACCAATAGCTACTTAGCATTCTGCGACTTTCTTTGAATTTTAGAGTCTTAACAGTGACTGAACACAAGATGTGTAATCTGGGTACATGTTGTCTGACCAATGAATTGTGTATTTGTGTTTTATTGTGTTGCATAATGCAAGTTGTTCACACTGTAACAAATTACTGCTGTGCTGCATATTTACTTAGAGCTGAGAGTACTGGAAGACAATTCAGCTTTGGATGAGATGCTGCAGGATATTCAGATGCCCTCAAAAACACTCAGTTTCATCATTCTCAATGAAACAAGTAAGTCGGATTTCTGTTAGAATAGCACTTTTCATGACAACATTAATGAAATATAGTTAATTATGAAATGTTATCTGAAATTATGTGTTTTATATTACACATGAATATAATTTAGGCTATTTTAACATGAGATGTTATACCACAAGAATTGCCACTTTCACATTTTTTAGAGATTTAACTTTTGCTCTTAAAATGCAAAATCATTCTATGCAAAATTATTCCACCACAGGAGAGATATTAGAGGAAAAATCATTATGACTAGTTCAGTTCTTGTTACTCATTCTAGTGTACCAGTAAGAAATAGCTGTGTATTTACCAGAACAATATCTTAAACTAGTCCACTATTAATGCAGAAAGTGAGAATATCTGAGATAATTGTATAAAAATTGGAATTGGCTAAAAAATATCGACACTTCCTCCATCCATATTGAGCCTCACTCCTGACCTGAAAGTCTGATCATGGATTATATTCAGAGATCACTATGAACAATGAATTTCTCTGTGCAAAAAAATCACTAATCAACAACTTACAGGAAAGTAGAGAATCCATCACAAATTATTTGCTTGAGATTTGTTACAAATTTAGAAGTATAAAATATTAACTTCATTAGGTCTTAAATTAGTACTGATAAATAGCAAGTATTTCTCAAGAACAACTTAGAACATTCAAACTGAAAGGGCATGTCTTTTACCTGGAACCTTGCTAATACGCATCCTGAAGTTTAGGGGTGTGTCCAGATTGGTTTCAGTGTTTTTAATGAGCTTTGAGAGAAAGCCAGTATGTGTTGTTGGCCTTTGAGGAACACTTGAGAGGCAAGAGCCTTAGAATTTTTCAGAAATGATGTGGATAGACTGTGTAAAACCACAGCTACTTTAATTTCTGTTGATAAACAGTGGGAAACTCTGAAGTCAGGGAAGCCACACAATTAGATGAGTAACTTGACAGGAATATTGGAAGGGGTTGTCAGATATGGGAAAGTCCCACTGCAGTGGGAAGGGAGGGGTGTGTGTGTGTGTGTATGTGTGCAATTATCCTATTCTAATTATGTTAAACAAAATGAAGACCTGGTAAGGGGTGAGAGGGAGGGAAGTGAGGGGGAAAGATGTGGCTCTGGGAATACCAAGAGCCTCCTCCCCAAAAAGACTGCACTTCTCTCTCTCTGTCTCTCTTTTGTTTTTCTTTTTTTTCAAGATTTATTTATTTATTTTTTAATCAGGCAGATTTACAGAAAGAAGAACTCAGAGAGTAAGCTCTTTGATTCATTGGTTCACTCTCCCCAGTGGCCACAATGTCCAGAGCTGAGCTGATATGAAGCCAGGAACCAGGAGCTTCTTCCCATGCATGTGCAGGGTCCCAAGGCTTGGGCCATCCTCCCAGCTTTCCCAGGCCACAAGCAGAGGGCTGGATGGGAAGTGGAGCAGCCAGGACATGAATTAGCAACCAAATGGGTTCCTGGTGCCTGCAAAGCAAGGATTTAGCTACTGAGTCATTGTGCCAGGCCATCTTTTAAAAGGTCAAACTAAAACACCTTCTAACCAGCTACTACTACCTACCAACTATCTACTATTTACTACTAAGCAAAGTAGTGGTACAACTACTAAGTACAAGCAAACCAGACAGCATATGATGGTTGGTCATATTCATTAAAAATACCATGGTCATCTAATAGTTTCACATTCTGTTGAAATGATAATAGAGATTTTATTTTTGTTCTTTAGGTACATTTAAATAGAAGACATGAGAATAACCAGCAAAATTCAAAGAGAATAAACCCATCTGCATAAAAACAAGTGTTTTTTCATCTTTTTGCCTCAACTAAAATAATTGGAGTAAACAAACAAAAAGGAAAATAAATGTTAGAAAGCAGCACCTCTAGCCGAACAAATGTCTTTTTTTGCTTCTTTAAATCTATTGAAGCTAGAAATAATTGTATTAAAATCTGGGAAAAGTCTGTTTTTTTTTTTAAGGCTGTATAATCTAGTTTTTCTTTAATTTGAGAAGAAAGGACTTCTCTCATTTTTTTCAGGGACGAATTTAATTAAACTGTAAAATCAAGCACAGAGAATTAAATTAATAAGACCACACAGAAGGTACGCGACAGTTTGCTCCGTATATACTCCGTTTCATTCTGTGAAACACAACTGAAAATGGGAACTCAGTTTTGTAGTCTGGAATGGCAAAAAGAATTAGAAAAAAATGTTATTAAATCAGAATTTTAAAGTAGAGTTGAGGCCAACTAAAAATTCTAAATAGATTCAAGAAAATTCAAGAAGAGGAAAACATTTTGGAGAAAAATGTAGAGCATAAGCCATAAACAAAGTAGATAAGTAGATCAGCCAAAGAATAGAATCGCAAAACAAAACATCAGAAACTCTGAGGTGCACTTTTATTTTTGACAGCACCAATGTGTTTAATGGATATGTTAGAAGGAACTTTATTGTTTTAACGTTAACTAGTATTTAACCTGAAATACAGTGCTTTTGTATCTTAAAATAATGTAAACCAAGCAGTTTTTTTCCTAAGTTTTAATTATTAAAACTCCAGATATAACTTCTCACCAGAAGAAATGAGGAATGAAGTCTTGTGGTAATAATTGTTTTTAACACACTAATTAATCTTTCTGTTTATTTTAGAATTTTGGTATCAGATGATCTTGCCTCCCCATTTTGATAAATCCAAGAAATATCCTCTACTATTAGATGTGTAAGTATTCCAGAGGGAACAATTTACAAGTTAAAGATCATATATAAATATATTTTTATATATGTGTTCATTATAATTTGCTTAAAATGAAAGTAAAATGCATCTTTTTGTCCTGGTGATCTCTGACTGTTGATTCTTCCTTCTGTTTTGCAATCACACACCCCAACCTGTGCTCTCTGTCATCTTCCTAATAAAGTAGATACTCCTCTTGTGTCCAGTGGCATGTGGGATTCCTTTTGATTTGTTTCCATAAACTTCAATGGAATTCCAAAGATGCTCAAGTCCCCACTTTCATCCTTAGCTTGTGGACATTTTAACAAGCAAGAAATGAGTACTAACAGCCTTCTGATTCTGCTTCCTTCAGACTTGCCCTAGCAGCTCCCATTAATTACCTTTGAGTCATGAGGACCTGAAGTCTTTCTTGTAGTTTCTGAAATACCACTGCCTAGTAGTTTTTGTTCTCCTTTTTGGCGAGGAGCAGTGATACAGGAGAGTGTTCATTCTAATCTAGACTTGAGGGACACAGGAAGTCCTACAATCACAAGTCTTGGAGCAGTAAATGTGAGCTCCTGTGAATCCTGAATGCTGCAGCTTTGTAAAATAATGTTCATGAACTGTCAAGCGTGCACTTTACTTTAATCCCTTTAAAATTGCCCTTGTCTCACCTATCATGCCACAGTGACACACTTTTCCTGTCCTGGCTTGTGTTATTTCCCTTATTAAATTAGATAAAACAAACCAACATGTATGCTAGGTGTTGCTGGGTGCCAGATGCTTCATATGCTTTGCCTTATTTTATTCACATGACAAATCAGTGTGGTAACTTCTCTGGCCCATCATATGGACAAGGAATTGAAGCTAAGGGATGTGAAAAGTTGGAGGGGGAACACAGATAGTAGCAGAAACAGCTTTATTTTGCTATATTCACAATTCCATGAAAACTAAACATAAAAGCACAAAGGCAAAGACAAGAATTTTAAACTTCCAGGTGTTGCTATTTTATTTTTCAGGAAACCTAATTTTGGTGTAATGAAGTTCATTAGTGACACTGGTTTGTCTTGGTATTAATTTTAATGCTAAAATGGATTCTTTAGACAAATGAGTGATCTTTTAAAAAATTTTTTTGACTTTCAGTAAGTAATGATTAGACCTGACTTTTACTAAAACGAAAAAAAAAAAAGTAAAATTAGCACCATTTTCTAATCCATTACCTTCCTACTTCTTTCTTGAGAGGAGTAAATCTTTGTGCGGAAGATTTAAAAATAAGAGTCTTGTTTAATCTTGAGGGTTAGGTACCTGGATTCATGCCAAATATTAAGGCAACTTATCACTCTACCAAATTTAATTTTGTGAAAGGATCAAGGTATTTCATACGTTGTTGAAAATGCTTGCTTTCCCCTAACAAATGCATGAATACATTCTCCCTTTTGTAGCTTAAATAGTGCAGTTCATAGTTTTGAATGAAAATAAAACATTATTTTGTTTAAAACTAGTGTCTTGTTTTGTTTTTATTTTTGTTTTTTACTACCATTACATTAGCAAAGGTATGCAAGCAGAACTTATCCTGTGCGGGGAGCAGCGAGCAGACAAGGGGGAGAAATGGGAATGATCCTTGTCCAGGAATCCTGAAGGGGCAAAGGCAGCACATGGAAATGAGCTGCAGTGAGCTGGAGGGAGCTTCTCTTAGCAAACAGAAGCAAGGGAGCTTGATGGAAACTGTGCACACACAGCTAATGCTGGTAAATCATAGCTTATAAAACTGCAAGTACAAAGAAGTTAAGCTTGTTACTAAATAAATTTCTGAATGTCAATATGATGTAATTCTCTCTCCATTGAAGTTTTACATAGTAGTCCATTCAGTGTTTGGTCCATTCCACAGTGATTCCTGCAGTGACAGTGTGAGTCACACTAGGCTACGTCCTCCAGTCAATGCAGCACATTTGACACAGCAGTCAGAGTTCTTAAGGACATTCCAATCTGGGAAATAAACTTGTAGTCTAGGAATTTTTGAGATCTTAGATGGAAAGATATATTCAAAACTGCATTCAAAGTCATCGTTATCTTTTTTTCCATTATGTTATTGCAGTCTCAATTACAGGACTTCTTTCGGATTTTTGAAGAAAGTATTGGCTTCTGGAACCTGTGTGTAATAACAGTCATTGAGGATACAACTGAAGTATCAGTTTTAGAGAACCTGATGTGGACTCCTCAGTGGCTGACATATTTTCATGTTCAGAATAGGAAAAAGATGCACACTTCTTGTTCACAGGATGAAGATATGAAAGTATTTGTCATTTGATTCAGGAAAACCATCAGGGCTAACCATTTGGGTTTTTCACAGATATGCAGGTCCCTGCAGTCAAAAAGCAGATGCTATCTTCAGACTCAACTGGGCAACTTATCTTGCAAGCACAGAAAACATCATAGTAGCCAGTTTTGATGGCAGAGGAAGCGGTTACCAAGGAGATAAGATCATGCATGCAATCAACAGAAGACTGGGAACACTTGAAGTTGAAGATCAAATTGAAGCAGCCAGGTGAGGGACTGTGGTATAAATTCAAAGGTCACTTGATTTTACTCCCCTCAAGTTATATTTTAAATTTTTCAAAAGAGTTTAAGATTTGCTACAATGAATTTCGGAATCTTTCATCTTTGTGTTAGGTTGTAAGTGAAGATATTGTGTTCAAATAAAAATGTATGTGATTACAGATTTACATGAGGTCTGAAAAAAGTATTTCATTTCCTCATTTTTTCTTTGTATGTGACTCTAGAAAGGGAACTGACATGTGTGATCACCTTCTAGGAACTGAGAATCAAAATTCATCAAACACAGAACTTGAAAATTTATGTTCCCCAAGTAAGCATCTGGCTAAATAAGCAAGCCCAGCTTTTACCACCAAGGAACTACAGTTTTATGGTCAGGAGTATCAACTACAAGACTCTAGGGGTGGATCCTGGAGTCTGGTTGAGGGGTGACTCTCATATTTTGGGGAAGCTGTGGGTTACAGCCATCATGGGTCAGAAATAGAGGACTCTCATTTAGTATGAGCCACCTCTCATCCTTGTACAGCCCACTTATGGGGCTATTAATAGAGGGAATCTGATGTAAGAGAGATGCTGATCACTGCAATAGCATATGATATGAGGGTGGCTGTTTTTATCTTCAGGTGTTGTCAAAACTGTTCGGTCCTTGGAGGAGATTTTTATCCCATATTACAAAAAATATCTGAGACTTAAAACATTTGTTGAGATTAACTGGAGTTTGAATCTAGTTTTCCAACTTTTACATGCACTTATTTTTAGTTGAGAAGTGGGAAATGTAATCTTTGAGTTTTCAACTGCATGGGTAGAAACAAACATGTAAGTGTTTAAATAATATAAAACAATAGACTAAGAAACGGAAAGAGTTCCATGAATAATTAATTAGGTGGTTATAGAAAATGTGTTTACTACTAATTAAACAATTACATATACCTTGACAATTTGAAACTAGAATTTCTACCTTTGCCTATACCGACAATGCTATAATAAATAGCAGAATTTTAAACTTATAACTGTTACCAAAAAAACTATTCTACTGTAATAATATGGAGGAAAATGCTGGGAAGGGAATAAGGGCAGGGAGGAGGGAATTTCAATAGGTACAAAACTTTATTGTGAAAGTGATAACAATTAAGTGACTTTAAAAAATGCTTTTAAGGAATGGAACAACTAAAGAAATAGAACAAAAGACGACAATTTATTAAGTATTCCTGGGTGGATGAAATTCTGATACCAAAGTTAACAATTAACTATTAAAAAAGAAATTTAGATTAGAAAGAACCTAATTCTGTTCAAGAAAGAAGTTTTGCCATTGTAAATAAGTTTTTATTTATCCAATCTGGTCTTCTGTAAGAAAGCAAATAGTTTTCATGGCATATCAAATTTGACCTGCAGAAGTCCTAAAATTATGGAATTGAGGCTCCACAAAATATGAATCCAGTTATGAAGGTAATGATACAGATTATGCTTATACAATTGAGCAGCATCTCAGTAACCACCAAGAGCTATACACAACAGCAGAGCCGAATCTGACAGACACACAGTTTGAGTAAAAGAAGCCAGACATAAAAGCATACATCCTGCCTGATGTGATTTATATAATGTTCAAAACCAGGCACAAATACAGGTGTGATTTTTATGGAATCCTATAAAAGAAAAAAGATTTCTTCTTCTTCCTTTGCAAACAGGAAAATGACATAGTAACCCATGAGAGGATGCACAGGGCATGGTTTCCAGGATACATTCACTTTGTAAAAGTTTATCAATTTGTACACATTTTTGTATTGTGTATTCTTCCATTTGAAAATGCTTACAGAAGATGATGAGCTGAAAATAATTTTTTTGAATACTGCTTAACTCAGCAGCTTAAAACATAGTTCATCAGTTAAAAACACAAAAGGATGCTTTTCTCATCTATAATACTAGGAAGTTAAACATTCCATTTGCTATTTTTAACTCAGAAAATGTTCTATTGATGTAAGGCTACGATTAAGAAATAAATACATAAAATATATTTCTCAGCTATTTACCTGAACTTTATTCTTAACATAGTTTATGCAAAAAAAAGGCATAATCCATCAAACACAAAAAAATCTGCTGTCTATTTGATGCTGCTGAACTAGCTAATCAACACCCAGTCTGAGGAAGATTGTTTAGACAATGGTGTGCAAGCACCAAGTAGGGGGTCCCTCTAAGCCCTACCCACATGTTTTTTGCCCTTGTCTTCCTCCATTACAGGAACAGACTCTTGGAACTAGAAAACATCTGGAGATATTTAAATTCAGTTATAAGGAAAAGTGCATCATCTGGGCTGCAAATTTTTATATAAAGCTGTAAAAAATACTGTCAGGATTTGTTTTCTGTGAATCTCTCTCACACAAATACGTGTACACACACACACACATGCACACTTTTAATGGACACAACTAACAAAAAATAAACCTTGATTCTTAATTTACAATGAACGACATTTGTGTTGGATGTTTTCGATTGTTGAGAGCAATCTTAATTTCTATGAGAATGAAGTAGAGAACAAATGGTGGTAGGCTTTCACATTTATTCAGTTACATTAATTTTCTCTACACAGTGCAATAGTGATTTGTGGGCTTCTTCCATTTATTTTAGACAATTTTCAAAAATGGGATTTGTGGACAGTGAACGGATTGCCATTTGGGGCTGGGTGAGTAGTTATCGGATTGATGAATCTATGTGTTTCTCAGTACAGTCTAGAACCTGCCAATTTCTGATCTCTGTGGAAATACTTGGTGAAAAGCCTGTCTATCAACTCTTGGATCTCTGGGCAATATAAACTTGGAGCCTCTATGTGCTGGGTTAACACTTTTGATATGATCTGGAGGGGAGAGGAAGAAGAGAGGGAGAAAAGCAGAGGGAAGAAGGAGAATGCGGGGGTTAATTTCTCATGAATCAGTCTGTCAAGGTTTTGTGCTTATTTTTCTTCCTTTAACTGATACTACATATTCACCAGGGTCAGCAAATTTCCCATGCTTTTCCTCTTACTTCTATCAAGAGAAGGAAACAAACCTGTGAAAGTGTCATCTTTAGATACTGTCCAATTAAGGCCGACTAAGCCTTCTATATCATGATTTCTTTCTCTAAAGAGGCACAGTATATAAAGATGTGAGAAATGTGAAAGCTACGACTCACTTACCATATGTCCTTATTCTTTTACCTCAATAAAAATAACTGTTTCCATTCCTTAGTCATACGGAGGGTATGTAACCTCAATGGTCTTGGGATCAGGAAGTGGCGTGTTCAAGTGTGGAATAGCTGTGGCACCTGTATCGCGATGGGAGTACTATGGTATGTAATTACTCTCAGGTACAAAGCAACACTGAGTGGTGACCTCAACATTTGGGTAGCAAAGCCATTATGTTTTGAATTCCAATGCTTCCCCACTGAATAACAGGCTGATTTATCTTAAAAGGTTCTGTCCTAAGATTATCTCCTTTATTCTGTCATTGTGCAAGGCTAGGTGGTGTTGTATATCATCTATGCAATTAGTTCCTTAACAATTTTTATCTTCAAGTGTCAAAGCTGTTGTTACATTTTTGCAGAGAAACTCTCCCTCATGTTCAACTCTGGTTTTTGGATTTCACATATCAGCAAAATAACAGAAGTATGTATGTCTTTCCCCTTGAATAAAGGTCAAATATAAGAAAGGCTTTACGGAAAGAGGAAAGTTGAGATAGGGGAATTTCCTTGGGGTTTTGAATTTTTTTCCACTGACTCTTAGTAAGTGACAGACACCCTAGAACATTTTCTTCATTGTTGAGAGAATATTGTACAATACATCATACATAAGATCTACAGTTCCAAAGCAGGAAGAAATAAGTAGTAGAAAACCAAATAAGAGGGAAAAGTCAAAGATGCTAAAGAGAGGAATTACTTTCCTGTACTTTTTATCCCACCTCAAGTCTTATGTGGAATAAATACGTGTTTATTGAACATTTAAACTCTCATTTAAGGTCTCTCCAATCACACTAAGGCAATGTAAAAATATATTTCTGTAAAAAAAAAAAAAGGAAAAATCCTTGGTGGACATTGCTTCCCTTTGATTTGCAAACAATGGATTTGTTTTCATATAATACTCTTCTGCTTAGTGGTAATTGTTCTGTTGTTTTTGGAGACCTCTGGTGGTCAACAAAATAATTCAAATAGTCTCTGTGAGTTTAAAAACATGTAACCCTAAGAGAACTTCATTAAATATAAATGGACCAACATATATTATAGGAATTTTCTGAACTTTACATAGATGTGTGTGTAAATCTAGAGTTTTACTCCAAGATTGGACTTAAGGAATACATAAACGATATTTCAAAGTGTATTTCTAAAAATTTAAAATAGCCTTTGCACTAACACCCAATTCTTAAAGCATTTTTTAGATTTTTGTTTATTTTTATTTGAAAACAAGATCTACAGAGAGAAGGAGAAACAGAGAGCTCTTCCACCCACTGGTTCATCCCCCAAATGGCCACAATATGCAGAGCTGATCTGATTCGAAGCCAAGAATTAGGAGCTTCCTCTGGCTCTCCCATGTAGGTGCAGGGGCCCAAGCAGTTGAGTCATCCTCTGATGCTTTTCCAGTCTGAAATCAGGGAGCTGGGAATTGAAACATCCAGGACTAGAACCTGGACTAATATGGGACACTGGACCTGCAGGTATTAAGTAGCTGCACCAGCCTCTATAATAATATTTCTAATATAGTTTCACATGTGTATTTATATATATATATATATATATATATACATACACATATATAATGCTATTATGTTAGATAATTTTTTAGGAGGCGGGCATTATGTTCCAAACAGAAATGAGATCTTGCCACAGTTTGGAAAATATTTTACTCTTAAGAACGAATTTTCCATGGTAGGCATTCTATATAACAATTAAGGTAGCAGTTAAAAAACCCATCGGAGTGCCTGGGTTTGATAACAGGCTCAGCATTTCATTTGCCTGATAATGCTTCCTTCCTGGGAAGTGGAAATGATGACTCAAGCAATTGGATTCCTGCCACCCCTATGGGAGACCTGGTTTGAGTTCTCAACTCCCACCTTCAGCCGTCCCCCATCTTGGCCATAGTAAGGTTTCCAATCAGCCAATCACAGCTGTCTCTTTTTCCTATCTATCCTTCTGTCTCTTCAAATCAGTAAAATAAATAAATAAATAAATAAATTTTTAAGGAAGAAATACAACTATAGCAAAAAAACTATGTAGTACAAAGGCAACATATGATTATTATTTACTGTAATTTGGTCACTTCAGGAGACAGTTTTCAATCTAGTTATTTCAGAGTTCTAAAATTACAACAGGGCCCGGTGGCATGGCCTAGCGGCTAAAGTCCTCGCCTTGAACCCGCCCAGGATCCCATATGGGCACCGGTTCTAATCCCAGCAGCTTCACTTCCCATCCAGCTCCCTGCTTGTGGCCTGGGAAAGCAGTCGAGGATGGCCCAAAGCTTTGGGACCCTGCACCTGTGTGGGATACCCGGAAGAGTTTCCTGGATCCTGGCTTCGGATCGGCATAGCATCGGCCGTTGGGCTCACTTGGGGCGTGAATCATCGGACAGAAGATCTTCTTCTCTGTCTCTCCTCCTCTCTGTATATCTGACTTTCCAATAAATAAATAAATCTTTAAAAAAATAATAAATAAATAAAGTTACAACAGAATTTGGCAACACAATTTTTCTTAATCAATATTTAAAGGCAAGTATACATAATGTGTGAGATTTTTATTGGGCAAAATATGTTTCATCATTTGTAATAACTATACAAATTATGTAATCTATTTTCCCAACATATTTGTAGATGGAAGTATTTGTATCACTTTGGCCAACCAGATATTAATATGTTTCACAGTTAATATGTTCAGGACACAAAACTGAGGGTTTTGTACAAGGCAAGAGAAAACAATCTTTAAGCTTGCATTATGATGGAATAGCTCAACCAATGTGGCACCTTTAATTCTTTCTTGTCTATAACTTGCCAAAAATAATAAAATAAATTCTGGGGAAGCTGCTAATCATTGACTATTTCTTTTTTTTTTAAAGATTTATTTTTATTATTTTTTTATTGGAAAGGCGGATATACAGAGAGGAGAGACAGAGAGGAAGATCTTCCGTCCGATGATTCACTCCCCAAGTGAGCACAACGGCCGATGCTATGCCAGGAGCCAGGAGCCTCTTCCAGGTCTCCCACGCGGGTGCAGGGTCCCAAAGCTTTGGGCCGTCCTCGACTGCTTTCCCAGGCCACAGGCAGGGAGCTGGAGGGGAAGCAGGGCTGCCGGGATAGAACCGGCGCCCATATGGGATCCCAGGGTTGCAAGGCAAGGACGTTAACCACTGCGCCACCGTGTCGGGCCCAATAATTGACTATTTCTTAAGAGTCTCCAACAGGAAATGGACTGTCATGACTTAGGGAATATATTTGTGTCAGGATAAAAAAAATCATGGCCATGGAGGTATGACTGACTGCCTCAAATGGTTATTTGAGAGGTCATAAAAATAAGGTGATTACTCCAACCACTTCTTGCTTCTCAGGTGATTTTCCCGCCAGTGAATTATTGATCCAGTCTTAGATAACCCTATTGGTTATCCCTCTAGCCCCATATAAGGGTTGAGTATCAGTGAGTTAGCGTTGAGTACAGAAGGATGGTCTTCTGAGCAGGGGCTGGGAACCAATGTCTGTGGTTTCATTAACAAGCCAAACCTGAAGAATCACTTCAGAGAGTGACCCTGGACACCTAACCCTGACTTAAGATATAGGAAAATAAATAAAAGAACCAGTAAGAGAAAAATAACTTGTCACTGTATGCATTAAGCTTTTATCTTTTTTTTTTTTTTTCTCATTACAGATTCAGTATACACAGAACGGTATATGGGCCTCCCAACTCCTGAAGACAACCTTGATCGTTATAGGGTAAGAGATCAGGAACTGTATCCATTGTATCGCCTATGTAAAAGTGGTTTAAGGACCTTTTTCAAATGTATCCTAGAAAATATGTATTTTTGATTTCCAATGAAATTCTTTTTTTTAAAGATTTATTGATTTTGATTGGAAAGTTATATATACAGAGAGAAGGAGACAGAGAGAAATATCTTTCGTCTGATGATTCACTCCCCAAGCGGCCACAATGGCTGGAGCTGAGCCAATCCAGAGCCAGGAGCCTCTTCCAGATCTCCCATGCGGGTGCAGAGTCCCAAAGCTTTGGGCTGTCCTCAACTGCATTCTCAGGTCACAAGCAGGGAGCTGGATGGGAAGCAGGTTGGCCAGGATTAGAACCGGCAACCATATGGGATCCTGGGCCTTCAAGGTGAGGACTTCAACAGCTACACTATTGCACCGGGCCCGAAATTCTTTTTAAAAAGAAATAACACAGGTGGTTTAGAAATTCTCCAATAGCTTTCCCTACCCTATTCTGCATAATTACAGTCTTTATCGTATGCTATATAGGTCACAATATGCATTCATTTGGAAATACAAAGCAACACCAGATAATTACTTTAATTATAAAAATTTCAGTTTAGAAAACATGTCAAATTCAACATATTCCTCTAGAGCCCAGAAGACTTGCTAAATCTTTAACTATGTATTAAAATTTCCTAGAAGATTATCATAATTAAGTTTTGTTTACAAGCTGATAATATTCCTACTCATAGCCAAATGAGTAGCTTTCTGTGCAAGATTTGAGTAAAGCAGGTTAAAGGTACATGAAATTGGGCAGGACCCTGAACAGCCCTGATTACAAATCACTGGAGGCTGATTGCCTAATAGTGAGATCAGCAGACAGGTTGCTCTGCACAAGAACTGTGGTAATTGGAGTATGGTCTGGGTGCAGCCATTGTTGACAGTCCCCATGAGCTGATGTGGCCACCACAGCAAAGCCAGAGCGTGTTCTTTGGTGCCACCATGGAGCAACTGGAAGTGTTAATTGAAGTACTGTACTAGGGACAACTCTGTGTTATAACTGTCTTCCTAAAATGGTGATAAGGCAAATCATCTTTGATGTAATGTTCTCCAAAAGATGCCAACATCCTTTTCCCTGATGGTGAATTTAAAAAATGCAGTAAGAATAATTTAAGAACACAATTTCTCCTCATCTGTGTCCTATCTCACAGTTCATGACTTTTGCATTAATACACTGCACATTTTGGTAAGATGCCTCATTGTTACTGAGTGTTCTGAAACAATATGCTCAAACACAGTATACTTTTGCAGAAGTGCAGATGAGTTAGTTTTACCTGTTACTGCTAGCTTAATAGCAAAAATGTACGTGTGTGTGCATATGTGCACACATCTGCGTGTGTATGTGACTATATTTCTGTTAGTTCCTGAATGTCTCTTTCTATTTCTGTTTTACACTCAAGGAGGAAATGTATTAATCTGTAAAGGGAGATGGTCAATTCATCTTTCCCTACAAAGCAGGCCCATAATCAAGTTGACCCCATTTCTGCTAATGATCTCATATGATACATTGGATTCTATTCCCCCCCCATTTTTTCTCCTTATCTCATCAGCTGTTTTAGAAGCCTTTTCCATCTCCATAAACTCATTTCTGCTGCTATGTGACATAGCAGCTTTCTTATCTCAGTTGCCCAATTTGCTTCTCTTAGCTTGTATTTCCAACACTAGTTTCTGCATAGAACAAGGAGATTAACCCATGCTCAGGACACTTTCATGATGATTTCCTGGGTATTCAACTGAGTTTTGTCCTCAGTCTTCAGCCAGGTTCTCCACACCCTTCTTACAAGAGCCCCATTTAGCTGAAAAGCTCACTCTGAAGCATGGTGTTAGTTCTCATGCTGTGCCTTTATTTTCTGATCCGTTTGCCTAGAGGATTAGTTCCCCTCCACCTCCACCTGCACTGCCCTCTGGTGGATTAATGTCCCCCTTTGGATTCCCAATATTCTACTCTTAATCTTTTTTTTTTTTTAATATTCTAACATAAACTAATAGTTATTTTATACTGAATTTTCACCTCTACAGCATTGTTAGTTGTTTAGGCTTTCTTGAACATTGTACTCTTTGGCTTTCCCTGTCAAAAATGCAAACCTTAAAACCTTCCCTGATTTACTGGAAGGGAAATATTGTATATGAGTTACAGTTTATTATCATTTCCATTACATTACAATTGGATCTTTTGTTGTTGTCAATGACCTAAATTTGGCTGCTAAGAGCATCTTCAGTTATTCCAATGAGTTAAATGCTGCTGAAACCCCAGAGGTGAACTCCACAGAATCCATATACCTGAGTGAACATGCTGAGTCAACATTTCATTTACAAAATCCTGTTCTAAAGAGCCCTAGGACCCATAAGCAGAGGGTCCAGTTTGAACCTAATATCTACGGAAGTCTATGGCAGCTACACAGCTTCAACCTAGAACATCAGACAGCCGAGTGGCTCCTTTTCATCAAACTCCCTATTAAATTAGCAAGGAATGAACACTTTTAATCTGCCTTTCAGCCTGTGTCCCTCTCCAGTCGTTCCTGGAGGTTCTTTCACACAATGAGCCTCCACTTCTCCAACTCTACCCCACCCATGGCAGTGACCACTTCCATCTCTCCCCTTAGGTGTTTGCTGCACGAGGTTGTCTTGTAAATAGAAGGCACTTCCTACTGCCAATGGCAACACACGCACACTGGGTGCACAAAGTCACTCTTTCACTTCACTGCACAGATGGCTCCCGAGGACTGTTTAATCCTTCCACGCCAGGAGTCGGGTTTTCCTGGCACAAAATGCATTGCTGGCAATGGACACATTCAAACTGCCAGTACCAGGGAGCTAAAGGTTCCCAATGTGTTACTCAGAGGAATTGTTTGGGAGGGTGACAGTTAAGGTGGGCAGGAGAAAGTGAGGCAAATGCATAACTCAGTTGTCTCCACTGCGGTAAGTTGCTTCCTCTGTACGTGGAGAACTGAATCTAAGTGCCTATTTTTGGTGCACAGCAGGCTTTAGAATAAAGCTGCCCTCCTTTGTTTTTTAAATGAGCCTGTGCTTTTGTCTCTGGCAAGAAGAATACATACAAAGATGCTATTTTCCTCCAAGGCCCCAGCTGCCCCTCTGGACCCCATCTTTTACTTTTTCTACTAGGTTATTTCTCTCTCTCCCTCTCTCTGCCTCTTTCTCTCTCTGTCATTCTCTCTCTGTTACTCCTCGGTCTCTCCCTTTCTTTTTCCTTCTCTTTGAAAAGACAAAGAAGTACACAACTCTATGCACTTCAATAGGTCAGAGAAAAGATCTTGAAAAGGATTACAGTTTACTCTGGCCAGTGACTCTTTCAGTACATTAGGGTTTGGAATTCACAAAGTTAAGTAAGATCCTGGTCTTACAGCCTACTGAAAACAAAAAAAAGTAGTTTTAAATGAAACTCAAATGTGTAAAAGATCTCATTTTTAGGTCACTGATAACCTGCATTTGCAGAAATTATGATAAATTCCCATCACCAAGAGAAGCACATCTTGTGAAATAAATGGTCCCACTCACCACTTAGAAAAATTGACTAAGAAAGCATTTGTGTATGTGAAAAGCGGGGATATTCCTGTACACGGTTGTTCAGCTTGCGTCCTGCCGAAAGCCAGTCTGCTGCATTTGCTAAGGCATGCACTTGGGCACTGCATCCAACCTAAGGGAGTGTCCTTCTATCCTTTACAAGCTGCCATATAGATTAGGGGACTGTCGTATAGACCTAGTGCAGTGGCACAAGCAGTAAGACCATAAAATTCTTTTTGGTGATAATCACTCACCCACTGCCAAGATGCAAGGCAGGACAGCTTTGAAAGATACCAGAAAATCAGAGGAAACAAGACCATTGTCTTCCTAAAACCTTAGGAAGCTGATCCCAAAGTTTGAAATTGGGAATCAAGCATATGAATGAATGAGTGGCAAATCTGAGCTAGTGGGCACTATAGTGTGACTCCAGGGAAAGATCTTGCCTGCAGTAAGTGTAGTCCAAAGGATAGAACTGGTGGCAGAGGAATCAGATACCCAAGGGAACACAAAACAACCGATAGAAACTAGTGAACAACAAGCGGGACTACACCTTAAGGAGTGGGTGCCAGACTGGAATCAAGTAGATCTTTCCCTCAAACCTGAAAAATAAAATTTGACAAGTGGTAGATTCTGATTCACTCATTCTTTCTAACTGTATTATCTTTCTAACTGTATTTTTACTCTTCCTAAGTTTACTGTATATGGTGAAAAAAACCACAATTTTTTGGAGGAATATAAAAAGGAATAGACAATGAAATATGAGATTAAATATGACAAAGTAGCCAATATGTGTGAAAATGACTAATGGTTGCCAAAGTGTGGCTGTTTATCCCCTACTTGGCAGTAGGTAGGGAGAGAAATAGGAACCGTCATGAAATTAGGGTTTCATCCTCTTAGACACCTCTCAATCACAGAAAATCTAGTTCATTTATTTCCTTCATTTTTCTTTCATGTGTTAAGCATCTGTATGGCCAGAGTATTCTTCATAAGAATCAGTTCTGCACAAAATCATCTAAGATAAGTATTCTATGCCCATTATGTTGACATAGAAACTGAGGCCAAAAAATGTTATGCAACAATTTAGGGCTAGGAAAGCAAGAAGGCATTAACTGAAGATTTGAGGAAGATGATGGGGAAGAACAGGAGAGATCTCTGTGGGCTATGGAAGAGGAAGCGGCATGGGGGATAACGGAGTTACAGGCAGAGAGATTTTTCTGGAAACTGTGAAACAGGGCCAATGAAGTGAGGCATAACACAGAAGAAAGGCCCAACTGTGGTTAATAAAGCAGGACCCAGGTTAGAGGGCAGAGGGTGGAGTGGATTTTGAGTAACACACAGAGAAGTGTTAAGATCAAGGGCAAGAAAAATGAGGCTCAAGTCCTGAGCGTTGTTGCCAAGAGGAGAGGGCAGCCTGGAACACACAGAAGGGACTGATTTAACTTGTAGAGGAGATTTATTTTGCATTTTGCTCAAAATTTGATAGGCTTTTGGCAAGTGTATGAAACAGTCATAGATTTGGCAGTCTTCTGCTAGCAGATTTGAAATGTTCAATCCTTAAGAACTGCTGCATCGTTAGGTTATGCAAAACAGGGTGCAATTTTGTAAATATGCCATCTTGTACTGATTTGACATTTGTTCTATTATCCCAGAATATGCCAAAAGGAGAGAGACCTTCAGATTTAAGCCAAACCTTAACTTGTTTGTTGAGTGCTGATAAAATGTTGACTGCTGTGTGATCTTTAAAGAAGCCAGTGTTGCTTGGTGAGGCCTGAGGTAGAGCCCCCTCTCTGGGGTTGATGGTAGCTCTTCCCTTGGCAGCTCCTGGGTACAGTTGTTTGAAAAATATAAACAAGTAAAACATCTGATACTGTGGACTGAATTCATTTTTTCTACCCATTTTCTGTGGCCTCTGTTGTGGCATAGTGTGGCTTCCCAAAACTGACATCATTTACTATTATTTACTTGGGCAGCGTTAGTTGAAAGAAGAATAATTCATAGAAAAAGCTAGAAAACCTAAGATAACATCTCATTGAAGTGTTGGGCTGCTGTCTCTGAGACAGAGCAACTTCTGCTCTTTCCATAAAAGCATTGGAAATAGTAAGGAGTGATGGGATGTGATACCAAGTGAAATAGAATCTGATGGTTAGGGACAGTAAAGGCTTGAGAAAAGTCACCTCTCTGTACCACAATTTCCTCAACTGGAGAATAGAGCTAATCAGACCTACTTCCTAGAGTTATTGAAATGCCTACACATGAGGACCGTGACCACCATGAATTAAGCTTCTGAGACACAACAGCTGCCACCACAGTTATCTTCAGGAAGCAAACTGTCCTTATGGTTTCTCTATGGCACAAGGTTGGCTTAAAAATTGTTCTACCTTCTGTTTCTCTCAGTACTTCCCCACTCTCATCAGCTCCCTCTTTTATGTCAAAAAATACAAAGATTCATTTGTTGGAAGGTAACTGAGGAACCAGCATGATCCAACGAGGAGCTACAGATGGTTCTTCTCAGGGATTGAAGGAAAAGCTCCTCACAGGGATGCTGTGGAATCGGCACTGCCACTGGACCGATTCTTCCCACTTCTCTTTGCCAGACTGTTGCTGGCAGCGGGGCTCTCCGGAAGTTTCTAGCCTCCCAAGCATGCCAACTGCACCACCATTGCATCTTTGCCCATTTATCACTCTGAGCTTCCTTTTCAGGAGTCGGTGATAGACTATTCGGCTTCTAACTTAGTCATCCATTTCTTTTTTTATTTTCGTTTCCATGGTTAGGCAAAAGGGGGGTTATCCTGTTTCGGTGGGCTAAAATAGTACCATTATTTTTTTTCTGATCACTAATCATTTAATTCATACATCTCTTTGACTAGCAAAGTACACAGACCGTGGACTGTAGAGACCTTTAGTTGAGAAACCAGGAGGCTCAGTTTGGCAAAGAGTGATCCATGCCTCCAGAAGCAAGGTGACATGGCTCCGTGTTTTTGTGGAAGAGAAACGTGCCAAGCAGCCCAAGAGCCCTGCAGTGGGTGCGTGCCTCCTGGCTGCCTGTCTCCCTGTCACAGAGGACTCCCTCTGGAGGTTTCACCCAGTGAGCAAGGGAAGAGCACCTTCGAAATGGCACACTTATCCTGCAGTTGCAGGGGAAGCTTTTGTTTTATTTTTCTCTTGCTGCATTAAAGTATTTGTCTTTCTTTCTTTGTAGTGTAATATTGTTAATGTAAAACAATTTGCATCATGACACTTTTATCACAGTTTTCGTCTTTTTCTCAGTATGTTGCATTTCTCACCATGTCTAGTTCATCACAGCTACAGTGTGTACATCACAACATTTATCTTAGGCTCAGGGTTTTACTTGTTTATAAAAATTGTCTTCTTTCAGCCTGTATTCACTCCATTTAAGAAAAAAAAAAAGGCAGCCAGAAACTGTTTTGGTCCAAACTCCAGTAGTTATCACATTCCTTGCTAACTGTCCTGCGTATTTATATGCCTCCTAACTATTACTCTATGTTTCAATGACATTTCTCAGTTTCATGGCTCAGAGAGGTTGTCGGAGCAGCTTTTGCTGTTCAAGCTGCCAAGTAAGGCAGGCCATGAGGCTTTTGGGAGTGATGTGAGGTGACACACTTGTATATTTGGGTCAGGTCTGTGTCAAGGTTGACTGCCTTCCACAAGCAAGGAGCCAAATTTAACTTGGGGGAAACAAGGTGGGAGGGAGTCAGCACAGGCTGGGAGCACGACAAGCAGAAAGACTCATGGAAGAGGACTCTGATAGGAGCCATGTTGGCCTGAGAACAGGAATACTGATTGTCCGTGTTGATACCCACGTGTCAGTCTCTCCTGCCTCCAGCCTGGAATGGTGCATGTCAGGGTCTTTATTTGGATGCTTTCTTCTCTGAAGGGAAAATGATCACCCACGGTTGTATGAGGCTGGGCTGAGCATCACCTTCAGAATCTGAATGTAAGCCTCCCAGATCTCCCAGATCCTTCGGTGTGAGAAGTCACAGTATCTCAGGAGCCAGAGTGCCCACTAGCATTGTGTACTTCCAAGTCCAGGATAGTTAAGGCTTTATTGCACACTCTTCCTTTGCAGGGGGACCACCTCGTAAGCTGCTTGGAATGTTAGTAGTGATGCAGTGCACCCTAGACATCAGAAGGAATTTTGGTATCAAACTCTGCAGCTCTGACACTTCTACAGAAATATCCTGATGCAGGTTACTTACCTTCTGAATCTCAGTGTCCCCAGCCATGAAGCAGGCTTAGTACAGAGCAATGTCACACAGATGTGAGAATGTCATACAATGATGCTTTTATAAAGCCTTAATGAGTCTCAGCGCAGTGATAGGCACACAGTAAATATGAAAGCATATTAGTTACTGTTACAAGTGGCATAATGTATGGGTTGAAAGTAGCCATAAGCTGTATCAGGAAATCTCAAAATGAATATATTTTATTCTGCTTGCTACAGGTGTTTCCACTTGCCTCTGTAAAACTGGGACCAAACGTAGTGGGCAATAGCAGTGCCTAATCATTTCTTTCATTTACTCATCTAACTTAAAAATAATTTGTATTCAAGTAGAGTACTAATAGAGTAATAATAGAGTAATGCATGATACAGAAAAATCACTTTTACATGGATCTTACTGCATGGTGGGATGCAAAACAAATACATATTGATGGTGAATGAATGGAATGGAATGGATGGGTGGGTGGATGGACTCATACATAAATGGACTCATCTGGGACATTTCAACAGATGAAAAGCTTCTCAAAATTAAGTGTGACTTTTAATGAGCCCTAGGTGTTGTGAAAATTCCTAAGCAAATTCTCAGTTATGTTCATAAATATAGTCAGGCTAGAGGGAAACAGAAGCAGCCTGAATAGGAGCTTCCCTGGACATAGCAGTCCTTGTGCATCCATAGAAACATTTTAGACGATTGTGTCTTAGAATTGTAGCTGGAACATCTTTTTTTCTTTTTCCGAAACAGTGTGCCACAGACTTCTCACGTTAGCATCAGAAACGTAATCTCACACAACACCACTGCTGTATCTTGAGATTCTTATGTCCATGAGGCAGGAAGAGGAGTCATGTTACTGCTATTTTACAGAATCAAGGCTCACAGTGTAGTAGGACTCCAGTTGTGCAGCTCATTGACACTGAAGTCGGGACTGAAATGCAAATGCTATGACCTTAGCCTCATCCCCTTACTAGCAGGCCATCAAAGTGCCCATAAAAGATGGTAAACTGGTGTATTAGTTGTAAGTAAAGTGGAAAAATGTAAACTTTAACTATCATAGAGCCAACTTCAACTTGTGAAGATCCTAATTTTAACCTGTAGACAGGCTGCTGTGCCCTTCCTGTCCCATCCATTACAAGACAAAAACTACTGGTGCCAACCCTTCCAAAGGCACTAGCTACAGTGACTTCGTGATATTTTTACTGTCACCACAACTTTATAAAAATTCTCAAATTAAAATCAAATGGTCAGTTCTGTTTTCAAAGTGTTTTTTCATCCAAGTTCCTTGCTCCTTATACTAGAAGCCCTATCAGACGTAGGCCCAAAACAGACTCCCAAAAGCTGATCTCTCCATTATTTTTCAGTCTACTTCCTTGGCTGGTTGGGGAATGATGAGATCCAACAGCAAGTCCTCCAATGTACAGAATGAGGCAGCCAGTAACCTATTGATTTTCTAAGACCATTCTTGATCTTTTCCACCCTTTCCCCTTCCCATATGTTACATATGTCTAGGTTTTAAACATCTGTTTCTAAAGAGGTAATATTTGCTTTTTCATTCAGAGCCTAACAATGTGGACCAAAGTTCACATGACATATTGCAGAGGATGTTTAGTTGCAAATGCTATGTACAGGCTCTTCGAAATGTAGCATGTATGGCACCATGTGACACATGGTTGCCATGGTAATACACTTTTTGGCTGAACTACAGCAGAAGCCCATGGAACATACATTGCTAATATGAGACTCTGCCCTGTGCTAATGCATAGGACACAGCCAATCTCGGCTCTGGGTCTCAAGGGTTTCTGTATGCAGCCCGGGTGGCAGGTGCCTTCTTCCTGAACGTGCAGGGAAGATGTGGCATCCTCCCTTTGCAATCCTGCCTCCCAGGCACAGGGCATGCTGTGCATTCTGCCATGCATGGAGACAGCATTTGCTTGAATATCGGTTTGCTATATTTTGTATCAAAGGGGGCCCCAGCTGAAAACATTTTATTTTGTAAACTGAAGTGAAAAATCAGTTTATGGCAGATCCTTTTTTGAATAATGACATTCTTTTTCCCAATTCCAGAATTCAACAGTCATGAGCAGAGCTGAAAATTTTAAACAAGTTGAGTACCTCCTTATTCATGGAACAGCAGATGGTGAGTTTCAGTTAATTAGACTTTTTAGTATCACAGACAGGTTTGCAATTTCACTACTGACAAAACAAAAGCATGAGGGGCAAGACTGTTACATTTACTTCAATAAAACAGTGTTGCTTTCCACAACTCACTTGTCTTGGGCTAAATGGGATGCTGAGTCCTAGAACTCAAAAGATCCTCCTTCCTTGTGCCTTTCCCACCCTTTGGTATCCAAAAACTGCAGTGGCTATCAGCTATTTTTCTGTTCCTTTCTCTCCCTGCAGATAACGTCCACTTTCAACAGTCAGCTCAGATCTCCAAAGCTCTTGTGGATGCTGGTGTGGATTTCCAGGCAATGGTATAACAAAACTTACGCAAAGGGTTGGGAAGTTGCTGAGGGTGTCTAGTTTGTTCTCACAGGGCAAATTCTCCCAGAAGTTTTAGGAGACAGAGAATTAAAAAGGAGGCAGGGGACACTTTTATTTTTTCAATGCTAAGTGATATCTTTCATCCATTCATAGAGTCACATTCAATGATTTTAGAGAATTTGGGGTTAAGAAGCCCAATGCTTCCTAACCTGATAGCACCAAAAACAATTTTCCTATTCATATGCTTGTTCAGCCTCTCCCTGTTTTGATTCAAAAGTAATCATTTATTCGGTAAATGTGCAGCAGAATAATTCTAAAGTGAAATCAGCATGATAATAGCTCGGCTCAAATTTGAAACTCCATTTCTGTCTGGTTTATTTTACCAGCCTTTGTAACAGTGGGATATTAATAATCAGCATGCTTCAGTTTTTGCAACTGACATGTTATCTTTTGTTGGACGACCACAGGCAATAAACAATTAGATTTGTTTTATAAAGTCCAAAATGTCTAGAGCTGTTGCTGCCTGCACAAAGAATGTTCTTGGTATTAAGTCAAATTTATTTTCTGCATTAGAGATTTCCAGATCAAGCATTTTCCACATGTACACACATATTTCTAAGTGTGGATATGTATGTGAGTACTGCGCTAAATGATTTTTGTATAAAATGCTGCTTTTCTGTCTTAACTAAAAAGGCCTACCTGTTCCCACTCCCCTCTAACACAGAGCTTTCTCTGTGCTCAAATTGTGCCCACTCTATAGAAGTAGGATTTTTTGTTGTTGTTATGGAAAAATACTGTCACATCTTTTGGGCAAGATTCTTAAAAGAGGTTGATTTTTTCCATTTCTCAAAGACACAGGATACCTTCATCAGATACTTTCTAAAACTTAACTGTTTCCCTAATGTGTGTGTGTGCCCAGCAAAGACTTCTCAATTGTTTAATAACATTTGAGTTGATAAAATTTTGCCTCATGCCATAATCTCCTACATAAATGTCAGAATACAGATTTGTTAAATGCCAGTGTAAAATGTAAGTATTTGCAAATAATACCATTGACTTTTGACTTCCCTTATGTTAAACATATATATGTGATATTTTAAAAGATTTTTCAAGTTTTTTGATAGTGTATGTAAGGAAAATGCATTTTAAAAGTTTATTTATGTAACACAGTTAAGATAAGAGAGATTTGGTACTTGACAATATTTAAAAGAAGTGGGCATAAAGGGATAAACATTTTTTTCTATAAATGTGGCTGTAAGTGTTACAGTCAACTTGGAAATGGGCTCGAGTGTGCTCATTAGAATGTCCACCTCTGTAAAGCACTGTGCAGCACCATACAGGAAATTGGAGTTCACAGCCAGAACTCCGAGCCCCTGCCGGAGATGAGAGGTTTCTGGAGGACACAACACTGTGCCCAGGAGGAGTTCTGGAGAGAAATGACATAGCTTTTTGGGCCACATTTTCACTTTTAAAGTGTTTCAGGAATGAAAACGCCCTGGTTGTGCCACATACGCTCATTAAAAAATATTTCCATTGTTTTTTAAAGACGGCTGAGTTGCTAATTTTGACCTTTTGCTCCCTCTTTCTAGTGGTACACAGATGAAGACCATGGAATTGATAGCAGCACAGCTCACCAACATATTTATACCCACATGAGCCACTTCATAAAACAATGCTTTTCTTTACATTAGCACCTCAAAACTGCATGCCATTTGCGGCTTATTAAAAACCATTTCTCTCATTATCTCAAAACTGCACTGATGATCTTTTTAAAAATACACTCAAAACAAGCAACTTAAGATTACCTTTGTTCTCAAATGTTATACCTACAATCCATAGAGACTTCTGTCTTCCCAACAGATTATTACTGTGCAGAAGTTTCAACTATTTGGTCTGGTTTTGTTTCTCATTTAAAATCACTGTCATGTCAGTTGCTGAAACAGCAAATGTAAATTGTTTTCATGCGATCTTTATATAAGTCTGCCGGGCAGCTTTTAATTTTTTTTTTTTCCAGCTAGACTAGTCCAAATCCTGTTCCCTTCTCTAAAGGAACAGCAAGATATGGGCAATGATGTCACTAGGGTAGAAACCACAAATAAGATGAGAAGATAGCAGGACATGGGTGAACAGATAGAATCCAGGTCCAAGCATACCCCCCTCCGACCAGGCTACTGCTACCCCTCCCCTCCACCCCTGCGAAGAGCTGTTCACAGCCAGACTGGCACAGTTTTCTGAGAAAGACTATTCAGTCTCAGGAAATCATATATGCAAAGCTCTGACTTCTAAGTAAAACCACAGCAGTTGAATAGACTCCAAAGAAATGCGAGGGAAACTGCCAGCAATGTAAGGCCTCCAGGTGCCAGTTATGGCTATAGGTGCTACAAAAACACAGCGAGGGTGATGGGAAAGCATTGTAAATGTGCTTTTAAAAAATACTGATGTTTCCTGCTGCAAGAAGCAGCTTGGAACTGACATGTGAACACATCAGCTTGCCCTGTAAAAGATGAAAATATTTGTATTGCAAATCCTAACTCAAAGGAGTCCTTGCATCAATTTTTCTTGTTTCATTTCTTTGAGCATTGTAATTAAAAGAGTATTTTAAGTTACTTGGACTCCTTTTTTTTTTTTTACATAGAAAGCAAACTGGAATCTTATATATTTTCTTATCTTACATTCAAAGGAATATCTCCTGGTCATTTAGTAAATGTGCCTTCATTCTTTTCAGAGGTAATGAGTTGTGTCTTAAATCACATCAACATATGAATATATCTATTCATACAGGCTCTTGCTGAATTTGTTAGGAAAACTAGTCTACCTGATAAGCATGCAGAATTCAACTTTTGTAAAAATTAGATACATTAAGATATGTTAAGGCAAGCAGTTCATATGTTTTTTTGTGTGATACATATATAGTTTGTTACCATTACAAACTGATTTTGAGAAATCAAAACAATTTTGGTTATTGTGAAAATGCATAGTTTACAATTTTAGTCCGGGGAAGTATGGTGAGATTTATAACATAAGACAAATAATACAAACAAGCAATAACAAATACCACCTTGGCAGTTCTGATGACTCAAAATTGAAAAAAAAAAATGGTGAGTCAGGCACTAAAGTGGTTGGCCAAGTAAAAAGTTATAATAAAATATAGATTTCAGATGTTGAATTTGGCCTAGCAGACAAATATCTAGGTAACTGAAGAAACATGATTTTTTATTTTATATACTTGCAAAGTAGCCTAATTTTTAAAATGGTTTTATGAATTTAAACTCAGCTTTAGATCACTTGCTGGACAAATTATCCCTGACATTGTAAGATATACCATAAACATCTAAAAATGAAAGAAATGGGGTAAACATTCTGCAAGTTCAGCATTAGACTGGTGAGTCATGCATAACAATTAGCAGGAGACTCTGAAATTCAGGTTTCACTGCACTCATATTTTCAAAGCATGTTGTAATGCAGCTTCATCTTAACTAAGCATCAAATGTCATTCACCCATTAGAACCATAAACCAACCTCCAAACCTGCAGGGTTCATGTCATAATTCTGTTGCAAAACATAGTTCAACTGTCATGAATAAATAGCTCCATCTTTGCCAAATTCTATTTAAGGAATAATGGTAAGATATGTTCACATTCTGGACAGCATGAATAGTCTTAAGACAAAATGAAACTTAAATTCCCCTTTTATCTTAATTGAAACCAGATATTGTATGCTATCAAATAGTACACATCAGATATTATAAATCAGATCCAAAGCAGCTATTGTATAATATTTATATATCAAAATGAAATTAATTCATCTTTTCTTTGATCTCTAAATGTACTAAAATATTTTGTCTGGAACCCAGAAATAAAAAACCAATTCCTAGCTTATATTTTTTCAAGTAATGTGGGTCCAAATGGCAATAATGTGAATAAAGTCAACGCAATTTTCATTTTACAGTAAGACTTTGAAATTAGTTAATTGGAAAAGATAGGAAATAGACAGGTACACTAGACATATACTTAACCTGAGGGTAGGTTTGAAATACACAGGAACTATCCAAACCTCTATGATGAAGTTGCAGCCATGATGAGACTATGGATGGCTACAACTCCTTTCAAAAACCGACTACACCAGTGTCAAGAGATACATACAGAAGAAGATGGGGAAGATGGTTCTCATCTCTTCTGCGGATTCAAGAGTTGTTTCGTAAGTTGCTATTAAAATTTTTAGAAAATCTCCCTTAAATTTTTCTTTGACATGCTTTCTTAAATAGCAGGTTTGGACCATAAATCAACACATCCTTCATGAGTCACAACCACCACTGTGAAGATTAATGATTACAATACACTACATGTCATACTGTTTCTTTATTCACAGGAGGACACCAAGGATTATCAATTCCACCTCTTAGCAACTGCAGTTTTTGCTCTGTTGATATGTGATTACAGATTTGTAAAATTACTGGATTGTCATAATACGTACAATTTAAAAAAAAATGAAAACACAGCAATAACACAGGCAGGCCATTTTCATAAATTAAGTGACTTTTGTTGTGCCATCTTTGTGAGTTATTTCAGCAGTGTCCAAGAACCATTTTTACCTACAAGCTGTACAATCTGGGGTATGTCTTCAGGATGTCCAAAGGATGAAAGATGGTTGAAAGTAGCAGACAAACGGGAATGGCAAAGCCATTAATAGCAGTACCCAATGACCTGAGAGCTTGGTGTTAACATGGGCAAGGTTGTACTCAGCAGGAATATACCCTCTTTCTTTGTCATCCTTCCTTGACACTATTCTTAGCCTTTAGAACCAAAGATTTGAGTAAACAATAGTTTTTTTTTAATTATTTCCTTTTGTATTAACTAACAAAGAAATCTTCCTTGGTAACTACTAACTTTAAACTTGGACAAGCTTGAAGTTCTTATTCTACCTAACTGACTTTTATCTGAACTGACTCTTCAAATTTATAATCTGTGTGAGTTTAATGAGGACATTAACATTACTTACTTAAGCTTCTGACACCACGTAATCACTGACATGATTTACTTAACCTTCTATCCACAGTCATGATATTTGTGGCTTAGGAACAAAATATTTAATTGGATATGTATGTTTCCAAAGAAATAATGATAACTCATAATAACTGGATTATAATTCTGGTGGTCAAATGAATACCTGGGTAAGGAGAAGGCTGGCCCCAATGCACTGCATCCAATATCATGGGGAACAGGCTTTGGTTCTTGGCACCTCCACTCACTCGCTGAAAACATTTACCAATGGTCCCTCAGTGTCTTTCAACTCCAGTGTCTTGAAACCAGAATAAGCCTGCCCCACAGAACTGTTGCATAGCTGTGAAGATTAACCTATAGAGAATACCTGACACATTCCTTTCACTTCTGTCCTCCTGCCTTTACAGATGGACTGCAACAGTTGGCTTCAGTAGGTTTAATCTCCTCAGACATTGGTCATCTGCTTTCCTTTTGATGCTGAAATGTCAGTGAGAATCCTTTTTGAGTCTTGATCATTCTCAATAAATCAAACAGCAACATTTTATATATTTTATTGAAGATTCTGTCAATAGCTTTTGCTGCCTGAGTAAACAAGCAGAGCACAAAACTGGACTCTGGAGAGTTGGGGAGCTACCTCTAAGGAGTGTGCAAACAATTGGAAGAAATAAGTCACATGGCAGAAATTTATGAGTACACCCATCCAAAGGCAAGAATACCTATAATGCAACACTAAATGCGCAGCACAAATGGATGAAATGGGCAAGATACAAGGGTGGGAAGGGGAAGGTGGTTTCTGGATTCTGATCAGAGTCCAGACTGGCTAATTATAGCCTACATTCTAACCTTAAATTTATTTCATTCTCTCAGGCTTGCTATGCTTGCATCATGCTTTTCAAAACAATACAATTATATGTATTTCTGTGTGTCTACATATACATATATTTGTAAATCTGTATAATCTTTATAAAGCGAGGAATGCTGTACATACATTTTAATAAAGCTGTTATGTTTGGAGTTACTTTTTAAGCATTTGGAAGTATGCCTGAGCTTCTTTGGTTTTAATTCCAATAGCAACATCTAGATCTGATTGCCTGAAAGTCTTCTTGGGGACAGGATTTTGAAGTTAATGATTCAACTTTTTTCTCAGTATGGACTATATTATGCTGTCAGATTAATATTTCCAAAAATCCATGTCACTATGCCACTCAAAGTTCTTAAGCAATACAGTTCATATATCCTAGTATAGAATTTAGCATCATTTATAATGTCTTCAACTTGCATTTGTACATTTTTAAAATTAATTTTATTATTATTACCACTATTATTTTATGATAAAGTTCCATAGGCTCTGGGATTTCCTTTACTGTATTCCCTAACCCCCACCCTCCCACTGATTTCCCCCATATTATTACAATAATATAGCCCTTCATTAACACTCTTAAGTCCATCATTCTGTTATTTAAGTGTATCCTGACATTGTGGGTATGGACAGACCATCAAGCATCCTATCGTCAAGAGATATTTTTCAGTTTCATTGGGAAGTAGAGATGCATACTGCATTGCATCCTCATATCTGAATATGATAGTGTCTATTACCCAGTTACTGTACATTTCCTTAAATGAAAAGCCATAAAACAAAATGAGCAACAGAAAGAAAAGCAGAAAATTTACAATGCCATTAAGTTAAATAGCACACTACTGAATGATTAACATGTCACTGAAGAAATGAAAATCAAAAACCTTCTTGAAGAAAATGTTACTGTATGATCTATGACTCAGTAAAGAATTCAGAGAAAAAGATTTTTTTTGAAAGAAATGAAAATAAAAATAAAAATATCAAAACGCATGAGAATGTAACAAAAATAGTACCTTTAAGTCTTCATCCCGATCCTAATACCCCACCGTATGAGGTTGTTTGTCAGGTTCCTAATATACCATATATCAACAACGCCAGGCACCAGCTATGCCACACCCCTTTGCTTTTTATGTCATTTTTATTTCAACATTGGCATGTAGAAACTTTTCAATTCCTAGAATACATTTCCTTCCCCATTTATATCCTAATTCATATGTTATCTCCTCTATAACATTTTGCTCAGATATCAGCCTACTCAAAGTTTTATGCTTGAGTTACCACTTTAATCATACACCAACTCAGTACAAATCACAGTGGATCACAGCTATGTACTCGCTCTGCCCTAGAAGCAAAGATCATAGTTCTATTTTTAACCTTCCAGCACAGATGGTAGGGATCAACATACCAAGAAGTTGAACTGGAGGGACAACTGTATCACTTAGCCACAACTTCCTATGGAAAACTTCTAAATGACAGATATGAAATAGTTTTACTTTGATTAGAAGGCTTCTGGCCACAACTAGCCTCACAGAGTAGATACATACAGACTCCTCATATTATGCAAATTATTCTCATAAAACTTTCAAATGATTGTAATCTCAATTTCATTGACTGAATATATGAAAAAATTGGGGATCACTCATACAATAATAGTAAACATAAGATTTCTTCAAAAAGTCATAAAAATAGAAAACATTTATTCGTGGGGATTTTTAAAAATGAATTCATATAAGTGAATCCTCAAAAACTGAAGGTAAATGCATAAAAGCTTATATTTTAATTTTATGTTTCTGTGAACCTTCCAAACTACCATCATAGTCAAGTGCTCAGGAGTATTTATGCTGGGGTTAAACAGACACAGAAGTAGGTCAGTGCGTTTAGGAAACAGAATAAGTCAGTTTTTTTTATAATCAAAGAAAAGTCTTAAAATACTCAGGAATTGTTTGAAATACAGGTCACTTGTAAATCATAGAGTAGAGAGTTTCTATCAGAACACAGGTTTAAACTACATTGAAGATCTATTCAAGCTACACTGAAGAGAATGGTTTCCAGTTCTGTAAGCTGTTAAACAATAGTGATAACAAAATAAGCTCCATAGTTAAGAGAAAAATAGTAACTAGGAAGTTAGAGTTCTGAATGCTACCATCTCTACAGCACACTGGCAGATGGTTTTGAAACATAATGGTCCCATCTGACCTTTTTAACAAACAAGTAGGAGAGACATTTTAGAAAATGTTCTCCCTATGCAGGTTAAAAATACAAGTCTAAGGCATTCTAATAATGGAGAATCCTAATAATGACCTTGGAACCTTTTACTAGTCAGGGGAGCAGTGTTAGATGCACCCAAGACAATAATCTCTGTAAAATCAAGGAGAAAGATACATCCTTATATAGTTCTCATACTGTTCTGTTCACAGACTTTAAATTATTTGAATACTCATTGAAATATCTATATCATCAAGTTTTTTGAAACCATGGAAGTGTCTAAATTTAGATATTTCAAGCGATCAAAATGTTCTACAGTGATATACTGATTAACATAAAGAAAAAACAGACGCAGTGTATCACAATTTAACATATACAAGGAAATTAGTTATGATAAATATTTATTTTCACATAACATCTCTTAGTTGTGAAAAACAATATCCTAGTCACATTTACACATTACTTAGGCTTGGCAATAAATTACATTCAAGATATTCAGCAATTTTGACCAGGAATCTGAAATTAGGAATAAATATATAACACTACATTTTTCTAATATTTTATATGATTTCAAAATATTAGGATTAACATAGGAATAGCATTAAAATTCACACAAGAACAAAATGACTATAAAAATACTCAGAAATACAGAATTTGATTAGATATGATTGCTTATTCAAATAGGTGATCATGTGAATGTCTCAAATCACCATGGTCATTTTAACATAAGTTATTGACATATTAAAACACTGGGAGGCTGCTTTGAGGAATGACTTGGTAAAACTTAAAGTAAGGAAAATGTTTACAGTGTAATATCTGTATTATGAAATTCACAAAGGCAACACATTTGGAACAGAAAGTTTCTGTAGTTTTCATCTGCACTTATAAATACAAACTTTTTAAGTGTAATTTTTCTTCCCATAACTTTAGATTAATGTTCCATTAAAAAAATGGCTCTTAAACAGATTGTGAGAGGAATTTTTCAGAAGGTATCAAAACGTTGAACCTAATGAAGGTTTTCTTGGTTTATTTTCCTACATTACTCTAATCACTAAGAGAATTTTCCCCCACTTTGCATGTGTACTTAGACATAGAGCACATAATAAAAGTTTTTAAAAACCACAGGACTCTGAGTTATTGTGATGTTGGACACTGAAGTATCATAAGGCTGAGGACCATTGATCAAGAAAGGAACAGCACTATGATATTTAGTCTATATTAAATTTACACTCATCTAAAATGAAATCAATGTATTTTTAATAATACTGAAAACTCCTAACTTTTCTTCTTTTTGCAGAAGCTTGGTAAAGATGGATTCTTTTATATGCACTGAAATATCAACACAGCCTTCTCAAACAGAGTCTGAAATTTCCATTAAAAAAATTGTTTTTCCACAACATGCATTTAATTAAAAAGTGGAAAAAGAGTTTTAAGACAAAAAAAATCACAACTGGAAACCTGTTGGTTTAACAACAGAACATAATTCAGGACCAATATCAAGTAGCATATGACTATTAGCAGCAGAATAACTACACACAGGTGGAATTTCATGTACAAAGATTCACTATGTGTTTTTCCATGAGTACATATGAAATAGGAATGAAAAACATTGGTTGTCAATAGGAAAGAAATTTAACATCAGATTTCTGATAAAGGTTTATATTGAAAATCTCATAAAACAGCTAGAAAGTTTTTGTAAAGCATCTTGATCGTGTACTCACAACTTGAATTTTCAGTAAATACGACTTGACCCTTTAAAACTGGTGTGTGATTAACAGGTTGTGAACAGGTTTCTATCTATTTTTTTCCAAATGACTCTAAGTTTTAGTTCCATATAAATTGTTAAGTATTAAATGTATCAATATTAAATCAAGAAAATACATAAACAATGATTTTTTTTAAATGC